CTTCACAGCTACACAGGGGGAAAAACAACCGTTTTAAACTTTGGTTCATACAATTATCTGGGATTTTCTCAGAATTCAGGACCTTGTGCTGAAGAGGTTGAAGAAACAATAAAAAATTATGGTGTCAGTGTATGTGCCAGTCGCCAGGAATTAGGTGAGATTATTATACCTCTACTGATTTTTTTCCCTATATAACATTAGATCGTTAGATATGACTAATTCCCTAGAAATCATTAAGAATGGACTAATCCCCGTGTGTTAGTCAAGTAAGCTAATCCCTGCTTTGAAATCACGCTATCTGAATCCTCTAAATTTTATGTTTGTATCGGTATAATAAAACAGTTAAAAGTATATCATTGCAGGAGTTAGCAAGATTCCAGTTCCAGTTAAGTTATTTATCTAGAGCTACTTAAAAACTAAAACAAATTTTAAATTGTGTTATTTAAAATTATTTTAAATCTCTTTATCATCATCTATTATAATGATGTTAATTATATCTAACATTAGTAATTGTCTCATCAAAACTTTTGTACTTTTTAATGCTTCCTAAGCTTTTATTTATTTATTTATTTTTTTTGAGCTTGTACATGTAGTGGTGGGTCTGGGTGTTCAATAATCAGATCAAGGCGAATTTGGCAAGGATGTTGATCATTTAGTAATTTATAGTCAGTGGCTTTGGACTGCATTTTGTCAAGGTCATTCATATTCAAGGTCATTCTAAATTCATGACAATGTGATATATATATGCATAGAGAGAGAGAGAGAGAGAGAGAGAGAATTCTTGCTTTGTAATTCTAGTTTATGCAAGGTTATGTCTAAAATATCAAGCTTATTTTGAAGTCATGTAGTGATATGAAACACTGCATTTTAAAAATGTTAATTACTTTTGTTATGAATTAATTGACATTATTCTCCATACGGTGCTGCATACACAATGTATTTCACTTTTTACTTAATCATCTAATTTGTTCTTAAAATTTTTACAAAATTAATAAATTGCTTATTTATTTCTTCAATCCCTTTGACAAAAGATTAAGTGAAGGTTTTATAAAGAAAGATTTTATAGGCATGTCATTTACATAGTATTATTGTATAGAAAAAAAAATTAAAAATACAGGAAATTGTGATCTTTTTGACACTGCAATGAAGAATAAAAAAAATTGTTGATCTACTGGCAGCTAGTGCAATATATGACATGGTCATCTTTTGCTCCTAATTTTAGGTTACCTGGACTTACACAAACAAATGGACGATCTTGTGGCAGATTATCTGGGAGTTGAGGATGCCTTTACAGTGCCTATGGGATTTGCTACAAATTCTATGAATATCCCTACGCTTGTTGGAAAGGTGAGTTTATCTAGATATATTTAGTATTTTTAAGTAAAATGTGTTAATTGATTCATGTTCTAAGAAAAACGTTGTGACTTTAGACCTAAACTTGATGGAAAGGTGAATGTAGAGGGAAAAACTGTTACAATAGTGTTTCTATCTCATTAATGTAATTAAAACTATATAATTTGTATTCTGAATTACCTCATTGCATTTGTTTGCAAATTTCTTTTAATTTTTTCTGAGTTTTATAGGTATATAAATGATTTATAGGTTCTAGTTAATCAAATTTATTTGTGCTGTAATGGTGATTGTACTTCAATCTGATGGAAAATTTTATAGATCTTGATACAACTTGGATTATTAGATCTTGATACAACTTGGATTATTAGACCTTGATACAACTTGGATTATTAGATCTTGATACAACTTGCATTGTTACAATTACATGTACGAGTGAATATATACCTGGCCAGATATACATAAATTTAAGATAATAAACTTCTTTTCTATCAGGGTTGTTTGATATTGAGTGATGAACTAAATCATGCATCTCTGATTTTGGGTTGTCGCCTGTCTGGTGCAAAAATACGAACTTTCAAACACAACTGTAAGTAAATAGTGGAGACTGTACTAATACATGATTAACATATCCACAAACTGACTGATTGTACACAATTACTTGAGAACAGCTGCTTTGAAACTATTGATCAAGGATAAATGTGTTATATGTTTAGATTTTATTTTTTTAACAGATACATTGTATACTGATCCGTATAATGTTCTAAAACTCAAGCTATGAATAATATTTTTATAGCCTTACTGCTTGTATTTCAATAATCTAGATCTGACCATTCACTCATACATCTTTTAATGTACATTGACCATGCTGTTATTACTCTCCACAGGCATGAAAGATCTAGAGAAAAAATTGCGAGAGGCAATTGTTGATAAACAACCTAGAACACATCGTCCATGGAAAAAGATTTTAATCGTGGTGGAGGGAGTTTATAGGTACGGAAGGAAAGAAACACAAATCTTCATATTTAAATCTGACCATGTTGTTTTCTGCATTTTTTTAAATTAATACTGGTTAACTGAAAATTGTTTGGGATACACGTTTCTATACTCTTTAGATGAGAGTATTCAATCTTATGTTTTGTTTCTGTATCTGTTGCAGTATGGAAGGTTCCATTGTGAAATTGCCAGAGGTGCTCAATTTAAAGAAGAAATATAAAGCATATTTATATTTAGACGAAGCTCATAGTATAGGTGCCATAGGGCCCCATGGGAAGGGCGTGGTGGATTATTTTGGGCTCAATCCCCGAGATGTTGATATCATGATGGGGACATTTACCAAAAGTTTTGGTGCTGTTGGGGGATACATTGGTGGATCAAAGGTATTTTATACATTCATAATAATACACATGTGGATTAAAAATGTTCATATAAATTAGGTTGGATAAGACCTATTGTTACCAGTTGTTTGTCATTGTTTGTCACTGCCGTCCTTTAATCATTAACTTTGGAACATTTTTACCTTCTGCTTTGAAACAGCTCTGAGTCAAATGTTTGGTTCACAGCATCTATGGATGGGGGGGGGGGGGTGTTAAGTCGATCATATACTGCCTTTTTGTTTATATATAAAGGTGAACTACACACTACAAATTTTCATCTTGACAATTATTTGTAAACATTTGGCACAGAGTTGTATTTATCTTTATTTATTTGTACTTACATACTGTGTTTTCTGTCTACAGGCCTTGGTGAACCACATTAGACTGTACTCTCATTCAGCCATTTATTCCAGCAGTATGGCTCCAGGCATTGCTCAACAAATCCTCTCCTCCATGAAAATCATGCTAGGAAGAGATGGAACCAGAGAAGGTATGAGAGAATTTCAGAAAAAAGCATTAAAAAATTATATACACCAATTATCATTATCAGATAAAATGATCAAGACAGCGTTACTTTTTCTCTATATGCTGAAAGTAACTTAATCCAACATTTATTACCTGATAGGGATTGTACATGCATGTATAATGTACATACAAGAATAATAGGGATGGCTACGAATATTCGAACATTCGAATATTCATTCGATGAGTTGATATTCGAATATGAATTTAAGATTCGAATATTCGGTGTTTTTCAGATTTCATAAAAAGAAGTACTGTGATTAATAAATTTTTATTAGAACAGTGCTGGAATTATCCCTGTTTAAGGAGATGGATGAACATAGCATGCAGAAAGCCTATAGCTTCAGATATATAAAAATCATTTCAATTTGTAAATTTAGTATTTAGAGTAAAGTTCTCATTATTGAAATTTGTGAAATTATGATAAATAAAACTTTTCTGAGGAAAGTTTTCTCGGAAAAATTTATTCTTTTATTAAAAAAATAATTTGGTATTCGTGGGTTTCGAACCCTAGCAATAAAAATCCTGGGTATCATTTTCTTTCGAGACCAGCACGCTAACCACTAGACTACGCAAGTCCTGATGAATATTGGCATTTAAATCATGTTTGTGATATGACCCTTGACTTAATGGACTTCAAGTATTTCCCGAAAAGATGCGAATGTTATGTCATAAAAGTATATTTTAAGGTATAGTGGGTCTGCTCCATGTTTTTGAAAACCAAACATTGCATATTTTTATGCAAACTTTGAGAATTAACTTTCCAAAAAATGGAGCGAAGACCCACTCATATCGAAAAATAGTGTTATAGTGTGAGAAAATGACTCTTTTTGCCCTCTTTAGCGTGTGTATAATATTTCATAAGCAAATAATTTCAATCTTTGTGAGATTTTTACATTTTGTAGATATTTTACATAAAGTATATTTTAATGTTAGATGAAATATCAAGGAAAGTTTTGATATAATTAAAATTTAATTTTTCACTTTCATGTTTGTCATACTATAGGCTTTTCGCTCGTCATGTTCACCCATCTTCTTTACCAGCGATCAATTTCGATCGCCTGATTTCTTTCACTACTTTCTTATCTTATAGGTATGCTAAATTACATTTATTTTCTTTTGAGTAAGGTGTTAAAGAATTGTACAATAATGCTTTACGTATAATACAAAGCGTACTTTCATAGTATTTATTAGTTAGATACTATCGGATCTAGAATCGAGGACAACAAAATGAAAACCTTCTTAGAATGTCTAAAAGACGCGAAGCGTATACTTTTCAAAATAAATTTAATTGATCATTGAAGGAATGTCCGATAGAATTAGTCTGTAATTAATATTGCTCAATTTCAGAATAATTATGTAAATTACTTGATTTTCTCGGGTTGTACATAATCCAAAATCATTATGTTATATATTCATTATCGGGAAATTAGTTAATTACCTAGGAAAATTGTCTATGGAAATATTAGTTTATATATTTTAAAAAGCTACTATAAATACACGTTTCATTTGTTAAAATCATACTTTTCTACATTGAAATCAATTATTTATTTCAAACATTGACAAATATCAAATGGAATTTCTTATTGTACACCTACACAGGTCTTCATACAATTTTACTTCCAATATAAGTATACCTTTGCTAAACCTTTCATGAGAGTTGGATGATGCATATTTAAAATAAAACAGATTTTGTTAATTTTATCGAATATTTGAATATATTCGAATACTTTCATTGAATATTCGAATATGAATTATTGACAAAATTGACATCCCTAAAGAATAATAAAGTACATTCAGGGGGAGGGGTGTATAAATAAATTACACAACAGTAAGATTTCAAAAACATTAACAAATTGTAGAGGAACTTGTACATGTCCCTGGAACATGAGGTGTAATCAAGTAAAAGAACCAAGATAATTTTCCTACACTGAATTTTCCAGGTGAAAAGAGAATCCAGCAGTTGAAGTGGAACACTCGTTACTTCAGGAGGCGGCTTCAGGAGATGGGTTTTATATTATATGGAAACAAAGATTCTCCTGTGGTGCCATTACTTATGTTTATGCCATCCAAAATAGCGTAAGCACCTTGGATATAAACATTCGTTAATAGAAATGTGAAAATATTTGCAATCAGCAAAACTTTGTAAGATTAACCCCCAATCTAAAGTGCCTCTTGTTTAATTTAAATATAACTCTGTATACAGTTTAAATCTTTTTTTTTTTTTTTTTTTTTTTTTTTTTTGGTTGTGGACTAGAAACTGAAAGGGTAAAAAAATCATTCATAAAATTTTCAGGACATGGGAAATAATTTATTTGTAAATCTTCACACACAAAAAAAAATTGCTTCAGTTTTTACACAGTGTGTATGCTGCCAAAAGGTATGCAAATTGAACTTAAGGCACAGGTGAGATAAAATGGTTAAAGAGCAAGGGAATGCCACTTTGCAAAGACAAATTTATAAGAATTTCCACTTCAATTTTCAGAAAATTTTCCCGAGAGGCTCTGAAGAGAGGAATGGGTGTGGTTGTTGTAGGTTTCCCAGCCACTCCAATGACAAAATGTCGAGCCAGATTCTGTCTGTCCGCTTCCCATACCAAGGAAATGTTAGATGAGGTTAGGTGTTAATAAGGAAATGGTTTTTTTTGTGTTTGTCTTTTGGTGAAAAATTATTTCTGATAGCCAGATTTCATTTGATTGTTATACAATTCTTTTTAATTACAATACCCCCCTTTCTTGAAAAATGAAAAGCACATTATTTCACATTTTATTATGATCTTATTTGCACAGTCTCTTTGATACAACTTTTGTTTTGTTGCAGGCCCTTCAGATAACTAGTGACATTGGAGACCTTCTGGCCATCAAATATTCTAAGGCAGCCCCACCATCGTATTCCGAGGATGATGTTTCTCTGGTAGAGGTAATTGCTTAAAGCATTTTAGTTTTAAGTTTATCGAAAGTTTGTAAGGCTGTGAAATGCAAAAAATATGAAAAATATTAAATTTAGCTAAATATCAAGGTCCCATGCATTATAAACTTCAACCTTTGCCACTTGACCAGGTGTCCCTTACATCAATTCCATTTCTCTCTGACCCTCAATGACTATGTACTAAGTATGAAGTCTTTCAGTTGAAAGTACTCACAGTATTTTATCATATTTTAAAAGAATATGTGCCAATCATTTTTATATTTAATCTTCTTGTTGAACTTAAACTTTTCCATCCTCCATGATTTTTGTACACCAATATACATGTATTGAAACAGAATATGAAATTGCAATTTCAAACGTACCTGAAGGATTTATTTTAGCTCACATGAGCTAAAAGCTCAAGTGAGCTTTTCTGATCACCCATCGCCTGTCCGTCCGTTTGTAAACTTTTCACATTTTCAACTTCTTCTGAAGAACCACTGGGCTAATTTTAACCAAAGTTGGTAAAAAGCATTCTTGGATGAAGGGGAGTTTAAATTGTTAAAATGACAGGCCAAGCCCCCTTCCAAGAGGAGATACCGGTAATCAAGAAAAGACAAAAATAGGGTGGGGTCATTAAAAAATCTTCTCAAGAACCACTGGGCCAGGAAAGCTGAAACTTATGTGGAAGCTTCCTGAAATAGTGTACATTCTAAAAACATGGCCCCCAAGGTTAGGGTGGGGCCACAATAGGGAATTTTTACATTGAAACTTATAGGTAAAATCTTTAAAAATCTTCTTCTCAAGAACCACTGGGCCAGAAAAGCTGAAATTTATGTAGAAGCTTCCTGGGGTAGAGTAGATTCTTAATTGTTGGGGGGGGGGGGGGGGCGGGGGGGGGGGGCACATTAGGGAATCAAAGTTTAAAATTGAAATATATGGGAAAAATCTTCAAAAATCTTCTTCTCAAGAACCACTGGGCCAGAAAAGGTGTAACTTATGTAGAAGCTTCCTGAGATAGCATAGATTCTAAATTGTTCAAATCATGGTCCCTAAGGGAAAGGGTTGGGCCACAATAGGGAATCGAAGTTTAAAATTGAAATATATGGGAAAAATCTTTAAAAATCTTCTTCTCAAGATCCACTGGGCCAGAAAAGGTGAAACTTACATTGAGGCTTCCTGAAATAGTGTACATTCTAAATTGTTCAAATCATGGCCCTGGGGGGTAGGGTGGGGCCACAATAGGGAATCTAATTTTTACACTGAAATATATAGGAAAAATCTTCTTCTCAAGAACCACTCGGCCAGAAAAGTTGAAACTTATATGGAAGCTTCCTGAGATAGTGTAGATTCTAAATTATTCAAATCATGGTCCCCGCGGGTATGGTGGGGCCACAATAAGTATTACAAAGGGAAAAATCTGGCGAAGAACAGCAGGGACGAAGTTACTCAGGTGAGCATTGTGGCCCATGGGCCTCTCGTTTTTCATTTGTTTTTGATATCACACGAGTGATTAAATAAATGTAGTAAGTGACAGCCCAATGACTTTATTCAATGTACATGTATTTCATTCGTTTTCAGTAGAAATCTTTTCTCTTCAGGATGACAATGAGAATGCAGTGGAGAGTTCATGACACACAATATCAACATAAATCAGCATTTATCTAGTCCCCACATTCAGGATCAAAGTTCAGGAGCTTCATTAGGCCAGAACTTCCCACTTCTTCCTCCTTGTATTCTCACATGCCTTTGCCCTTGTGTATATGTAAATTTATCTTGCCTTCAAAGATGCACACCAAAGATGAACAAAAAAACCCAAACTGATTGAATTTTGTAAACATTATGATGCAGTAGAAATAGAAATACTCATGTAAGATTAAATTTTATTTCTTTCCTGGCTAAAATTCTTCCAACAAAATTTAACCTCTGACAAAATAGAGCTGAGCTACCTGCTATAAAATAATTTTGATAAACTGTACGTTTTTTGTTTTGTTTTTTTTTTTTTTTGTACTGTATGCTTAATGAATTTGGAATGTCATACAATTTTTGTTTAGATTTTGTTTTACATTGGAAAACCTCTATGTGACATATGTGTATCAGTAACTAAAGATCGTTTATTTTAAAGTGTTAAATTTCTAGAGATCTTTTTTAAGGACAATTTTATTTTCTTTATATTTTAGTATACAACTGTGTGTTTATATGTTATTGCTTTACTTACATCCCTTATGAAGGTGTCTTTTAAAAAGCCTTTTTATCTACATGTATAATATAGAAAGAAAGATGTAGAATTTTATGTTTTGTTTTAAAATGGCTTTGTACATTTTATTTTGTTAATAGCTCATATCATTTTATCTTACAAGTATATCATTACATTTCATTTTATAAGTCCATTATTTATTTATATTTTTATTTAGCTTTACACTTGTGAGGGAGTTTTCAATAATGTGATAAGCTTCTTCCATCTTCTGTTTTTTTAAATATCATAAGCATGTAATGCATAACATTTTTTTTTTTTAATAAATACATGAATTGTATTACTTTGTAGCACTGCTGTTAACACCACCACAGTTTTAAGCTTGTTTTCTGTCAAGGGTATTTAGAATTCGTCATGTGGTTCATTGTTTGAATCTCCTTCATTATATGAGATTACATGCATTATAAATTATTCTGAGGAGAAGGTGCTTTGAGCAGATCACAGATAGTGTATTTTTATATACATGTACAACATTTTAAGGAAGAGTTCAATAAATGACCTCAATAGAAGTTTTTATGTTTTTTTTTCATCCTGACAATGGTGGATATGCCTCTGTTAGTAGCTACTTGTATACCATAGAAATTATATCCAATTAACCAGCCTTTCACTGGATACCAGTGGAATGTCAGATAGCAGTTCTTAAATTCTTACCATGGTCACCTGAACATCATATTGTAAATGTAGTTAAACTTGAAAAATTAATACTTTTCCACATTAGCTTGATCATGTCAACAAGAAATGCATTTATGTTGACAAAATTAACCAGAAGGTTTTGTTGAGACTAGCACTACTTGTTTATACTTGTAATAAGTGTTGTCAATGTGTACCTGGTTAACCATTGAACGATGCAAGTATCGATTAGTAAAACTGCTATTCAGTTACTTGGATATAAAGACATTTTACAGTGTAAATAAGAAAAAAAATATTCTGTTCATAAATATACACTAACATGTCCCAATTTTATTTATCGTTAGTCTCAGTTTCACATGGTACAAATACGATTGATTTGTTTTTATTAGTTTTCACAGTTTGATTAGGAGCCTTGATTGCCAAGGGCAATATTTTGAAGATCTATAAGTCCATACTTACCTCATTAATTATACCTATAAAGTATAAAACAAGATGGCACTCAAAACATCAAAATCATTGAGATATTTTCAAAGAAAGACCGATTTTAAATCTGCGAAGTGTACATATGTGATATGGAATAATATTAAAAACATACGAACAGCCAGCTATAATGGGGTATTCTCTTGAATAAAAACAAACTGCACTTGTTTGAGTGACATTTGAAAACAAATTAATCTATTTAGATCAATGATGTGTGTTTATAATTGAAATAAAAGATAAGTTTAATTTTAAAGACGATACATTTATTACAGTTACATGTACTATATGTATATCGTGAGCAACTCTGATTTGACAACACTACTTATAATACAGAAAGATGTTTCTTAGTATAGTCTGTGTAAGAACTTGGACTAAACTGTAGGAGGAGTATTAATTTGAAAGAATTTCATGGGAATTTCTATTCTTAGTAACCTTGGCAACACCAAGTGTTCAAATCAAAAATTGATAACAAAATTATGGTTACAGTGACCTACATTTCAGTCAACTTACCTCGAGGTAACCCAAGATGCATCAACTGACAAAATTTGATGATTCTAAGCTAATAAGTACCAGAAATATTTCATTATAGCCATATAAATTGAAAAGTAGGTCCCAGTGACCTACTTTTCAGTAGACATACTCCAAGGACCCAAGATGCATCAACTGACAAAGTTTGATGATTCTAAGCCAAATAGTACACAAAAATATTAAATACAGCCATAAAATTTCAATAGTAGGTCACTTTGCAGTTGTCCTACTCTGAGGATGCAAGATGCATCAACTGACAAAGTTTGATGATAGTTAACCAATTAGTACCTGATATATTTAATTAAAGCCATAAATTTTCAAAAGTAGGTCACGGTGGACTCTTTTTTCAGTCGACTAACTCTGCGGACCCAAGATGCATCAACTGACAAAGTTTGATGATTCTAAGCCAATTAGTACCTAAATTAATCTAATTATAGCCATAAATTTTCAAAAGTAGGTCACAGTGACCTACTTTTCAGTTGTTGTTCTCCGAGGACCCAAGATGCATCAACTGACAAAGTTTGATGATTCTAAGCCAATTAGTACCCGAAATATTTAATTATAGTCATATAAATTTACAAGAGGCCCAAGGGCCTTAACGGTCACCTGAGTATAATACAACAATTTAGAGGATCCATAAAGTATAAAATAAACTGGTAGATGAAGATTTGTTGCCCAAAAGCAAGAGAAATACGCATGTGAGTTAAGGCTAGGTATAGGCGTTTCTATGCAAATGAGCTAATAAAAACGCATAAGAGATATATTTTTTATTCAGAGAAAATTTTGATTTATTTTCTTATGCATACTTGGTACCCACGATATGTTATAGCCAGTACACATTATGATGTCATATTATGACGTCACTGATCTTACCTACTGGAGCTAATAAAACACATAAAAAAAACAGCTTCGGTGCAAGGGATTACCCTATTTATTTTTACATAAAAATTGTATAATGCTTAGAAGAATATTCTATAGTTTAATAAAACTGCTGCACAAATCCTAGGCATTTTCTCATTTGATCGGAATTTGAGGAAACTTATACCGGACTGTACATTTTACCCTTATTCAACTTAAAACTTGACTAATAGAAATTATGCAACTGAGTTGTTGACATTTGTGCAGCAATACCGACAAACTTTGGAATATTTTGCTTCTAAATATACCTTGTTTCAGTTAAATAAAATAGAGCATGCCCTTGCGCCGAAGCATTTTTGTTGATGCCCTTTATAATCTTGTGTAGTAAAGAACAATGATGTCATAATATGACGTCATAATGTGTACTGGCTATCTCATGTCGTGGGTACCAAGTATGTATTAGACAATAAGTTTTAACTTTCTCTGTATAATAGATATAGTCCTTAGGCATTTTAATTAGATTACTTGCATAGAAATGACTATACTTAGCCTTAACTCACCTGCGTAGGATGATCAGGATCAATGAAATAATTGGTCTAGTATTCAGTAACAACTCATAAATTAAATTCTAATCTATCCCCCATACATCACTATCGCAATGCAGACAATTAACAAACTAGTATTAGTTTTTCCGTACTACTTTTAACCCCATATTGTGACCTCTCACATTTGCCTCTCTTGGTCTTTGAAGAACATTTAATAAGATATTTTTGTCTCATTTTGATTCATTTATTATTTACAAGTCTACCTGATCATTAAAACTATGAAAGTACTTTTTGTATTATACAATAACATTTTTTGCATTAAATTCTCTTAGTCTATTAACTTTCAAATACATGTACATTATTTACAGTGATTAATTATCAAAAGTGAATGGCAAAGGGGAATAACTTCTCTCAATAGAATACAAATTAATAGAGCGCTGGCCGGGACCAGAAAACTTGACCAAATGGTGCTGATGTTCAAAAATCTGGTAAAAATATTCTTGCTTATTAAAACTTTTATTCTGTTTGCCTTCGATTTGCCAAGGAGCAGAGAAGATTTTCAAAGAAATAATGCATTTTCACTACAGAATCAACACAACCCTAACCCCCCCCCCCCCCCCCCCCCCCCCGCGAAACACCAAAACCTGGGACCACAAGTTTTAAAAAAATTGTAAGAAGCACAATTGTTCATCATAACTATGCACTTTGTTTATCTGCTCAACAATAAGAGACAGACAGGATTATTTAACAGAAATATTTCATTTTCAATATTTTATCAAAGAAATTATGCTTTTTCACTATATTATCAATAGAGCCCCCCCCCCCCCCCCCCCAGGGGCCATGAATTTCACAATTTTTGAAAAGGCATCATTGCTTATCATAATCATGCACTTAGTTTGTTTAAATAATACCTAGGAGCAGAGAAGAAGATTTTCAAAGAATTAATGCATTTTCACTATATAATCAATAGAGCCCAATCCAAACACCACAGCCCCTGACCCAGGGGCCAGGAATTTCATAATTTTGTAAAAGGATAACCATGCACTTCGTTTGTTTTAATAATACCCAGGAGCAGAGAAGAAGATTTTCAAAGAATTAATGCATTTTCACTATATAATCAACAGAGCCCCACCCTAGCACCAGAACCCCTGACCCAGGGGCCATGGAATTAACAATTTTGGAAAAGACATCCTTGTGCATCATAACCATGCACTTAGTTTGTTTAAATAATACCCAGGAGCAGAGAAGAAGATTTTCAAAGAATTAATGCATTTTCACTACATAAGCAATAGAGCCCCGCCCTAACACCAGAGCCCCTGACCCAGGGGCCATGAAATTCACAATTTTAAAAAAGGCATCATTGATTATTATAACCATGCATTTAGTTTGTTTAAATAATACCCAGAAGCAGAGAAGAAGATTTTCAAAGAATTAATGCATTTTTCACTATATAATCAACAGAGCCCCACCCTAACACCAGAACCCCTGACCCAGGGGCCATGAAATTCACAATTTTAGAAAGGCATCCTTGTGCATCATAACCATGCACTTAGTTTGTTTAAATAATACCCAGGAGCAGAGAAGAAGATTTTCAAAGAATTAATGCATTTTCACTATATAATCAATAGAGCCCCGCCCTAACACCAGAACCCCTTACCCAGGGGCCATGACATTCACAAATCCAGAAAAGGCATCCTTGTGCATCATAACCATGCACTTAGTTTGTTTAAATAACACCCAGGAGCAGAGAAGAAGATTTTCAAAGAATTAATGCATTTTCACCATATAATCAATAGAGTCCCACCCTAACTCTAGAACCCCTTACCCAGGGGCCATGAAATTCACAATTTTAGAAAAGGTATCATTGATTATCATAACCATGCACTTAGTTTGTTTTAATACTACCCAGGAGCAGAGAAGAAGATTTTCAAAGAATTAATGCATTTTCACTATATCATTAATAGAGCCCCGCCCTAACACCAGAACCCCTGACCCAGGGGCCATGAATTTAACAATTTAGGAAAAAGCATCATTGCTTATCATAACCATGCACTTAGTTTGTTTAAATAATACCCTGCAGAAGAGAAGAAGATTTTCAAAGAAATAATGCATTTTCACTATATGATCTATATAGCCCCGCCCTAGCACCAGAACCCCTGACCCTGGGGCCATGAATTTAACAATTTTGGTAGAGGGTCCAATGCTTATTACAATCATGTCAACAGTTTGACTGCTTGGTGTCCAGGAGTAAAGTAGAAGATTTTTAAAGATTGCATCAATTTTGGTGGTTTTAGCCCCACCCCTCTGGCCCCAGGGGGGGCAGGGACCATGAAATTTACAAATTTTGTTCCCCTTCACCCTTATATGCTATATGCCAAAATTGGTTGAAATTGGTTAAGCGGTTTTGGAGAAGAAGTTGAAAATGTTCAAAAGTTAACACACGACGGACGACGACGGACAAAAACAGATAGCAATAGGTCACCTGAGTGACTCAGGTGACCTAAAAAGTAGGTCACGGTGACCTATTTTTCAGTCGAACTACTCCCAAGACCCAAGATACATCAACCGACAAATTTTGATGATTTTGAGCCAAATAGTACCTGAAAAATATTAAATACAGCCATAAAATTTCAAAAGTAGGTCAAGGTGACCTACTTTTCAGTTGTCGTACTCCAAGGACCCAAGATGCATCAACTGACAATGTTTGATGATTCTAAGCCAATTAGTACCCGAAATATTTAATTACAGTCACATAAATTGAAAAGTAGGTCACGGTCACAGCTACCTACTTTTCAGTCGACCTACTCTGAGGACCCAAGATACATCAACTGACAAATTTTGATGATTCTAAGCCAAATAGTGCCCTAAATATTTAAATATAGCCATAAAATTTCAAAAGTAGGTCATGGTGACCTACTTTTCAGTTGATGTTTTTCGACGACCCAAGATACATCAACTTACAAAGTTTTAGGATCATAGGCCTTAAAATGTCCAAATCATGCCTCTAAAACACTTTGAAATCAAATGCCTGCAAAGTTCAAAAAGTAGGTCACTGTGACCTACTTTTTTAATAAACATGTTTTATGGCCCCAAGATGCATCATCTTACAAGATTTAATGTTTTGAAAAAGATTAGCCATCAAATTCAAAAAGTAGGTCAAGGTGACCTATTTTTTAGTTGACATACTCTGAGGACCCAAGATACATCAACTGACATAGTTTGATGATCATAGGCCTTAAATTGTTCAAAATATGCCTCTAAATCATTTTTAAAAAGAATGGCCTCAAAATTTAAAAAGTAGGTCACCGTGACCTACTTTTGAGTCAACATGATATGAGGTCCTTAGATGCATCAACTGACAAGATTTGATGATCTTAGTCCTTATAGTAAGCAAAATATTAACATTTTAATAAAATGTAATTTTTGGTCAACTTTGAAGTGACCTTGAGACCACGCCCTTTGCCCCAGGGTGATGCCTTGAACAATTTCTAATCTAAAACATATCCTCATCCTTTTGTTTAAGTTTGGTGATAATCTGCCCAGTGGTTCTTGAGAAGATTTTTAAGCAACCAGTACTTTTGTTTCTATTTTCCTAATTATCTCCCCTTGCTTAAGGGTCACAATGCTAGTTTTAGTATAAATGGGAGCCCTTGGGCCAAGGATACCCTATGACAAATTTGACAATAATTGGCCAAGGGGTTCTTGAGTTATGGTCCATATTCTAAAAAGTTTACGCACACTGTACAAATGGCCATAGTATTACTATCATTCCAGTAACAGCGTGTCACTTTGCTTGATCAAGCGTGCTAAAGTTTCACAAACTAATTACCATATTACTCATCATTTGGATGTTTGATTTGAATGAAATCAATGCCACTTTGCATAAGAAACAAAGAATCCAACAATACCCCGATAACACTGGCCAATCATATTGAATGACTGTTTACCAGTGCGGCAGTCAGCAGCAACACGTGGTCAGTCAAAGCCCGTTTTCTGTCCTCAAAATAGTATGTGTCATATTTGTTGTGATTTGACCGAATGGAGTTAATACATGTACGAATGAGAAAATTAAAGCATGAAATAAGTAAGGCTATACTCTGCTACCGTTATACTATATAGCGATCAATATCATCATTATAAGGATTAAAACTTGCTTTGCCTGTCCACATGTGATTATTGTTTACTGCATTCTCGTGAACAATCATTCAATACAATTGGTCAGTATTGCTGGGTTCTGTATTTCATATGCAAAGTAGTATTGCTTTCATTGAAATCAAACATCCAATCGATGAGTAATATGGTAATCAACATGTAAAACTTTATCACGCTTGATCAAGCAAAGTGACACACTGTTCTTGGAATGATAGTAGCTCTTTGAGGCTTTGGCTCAGAAGAGCTAAAAATGAATAACTGTTAAATTAAAAAAGTAGGTCACCAATACCTGCTCTTGAGTCAACATGATATGAGGTCCTAAAATGCATCAACTGACAAGATTTGATGATCCTATTCCTTATAGTGGGCAAAATATCAAAGTTTTGACAATAAAACATAATTTTAGGTCAACTTTGAAGTGACCTTGAGACCATGCCCTTTGCCCTAGGGTGATGTATGGAACAATTTTTCATCAACTATGTCCTTGTCCTTATGCATAAGTTTGGTGATAATCTGCCCAATGGTTCTTGAGAAGATTTTTTAGAAACCACTACTTACGTTTTTATTTCCTTAATTATCTCCCTTTGTTTAAGGGGTCACATCCCTATTTTTAGTATAAATGAAAGCCCTTGGGCCAAGGATACCCTGTAACAAATTTGACAAAAATTGACCAAGGGCACCACACAAATGTCCATAGCATTAGCTATTTGAGCCTTTGGCTCCGAAAAGCTAAAAGATAAAAGAAGTTATGTATCTTAGAAATAGTCTACCTGTGTAAGTATCTTTGAAATAGTCCACTTGTGCAAGTTATAATGAGGCCAAGACTCGTAGGAGAAATAGCATTTTGAAAAATTGTTTACAGACAGATGATGAACAACTTACTACTGTACAAGTTCTGGTCTCTGATCAGCAGAGCTAAAATAACCAGTTATATAACTGTGTCAGAGAGAGTCATAAAATCAGGAATACTTTACTCCATAATGAATATTTTCTTTGCATATCATGAACTTTGACCTAAGGTTCAAAAAGACCAAAGTATTCTAAAATCTGAATAAGTTGCCTCGATTACAAAAACTGGATTAAGAATTTTGATGGGCAACATGAATAGATCTCCAGATATTTATTCTGACAAGACATCAATGTGAAGTATTTTAAAAGTCTTCCACAATACTGTACTTAAAAGAAAAGTTCTGTTTTTATATCACATTTTTGATACAAAAGAGAAACTTTTGTAGTTGCATTAATTAAGAAAATAAAGAGAGCACATAGAATTTGACTTCTTTATTTAATCTAGAAATAGTTTAAAAGTACATGTACTGAAAGAAAAAAAACCCTGTATACAAATTAACATCACATAATGATGGGAATGAGGGTTGAGCATGCAAAGGCTTGATATGCAGTTTTAGCAAAAAATGCAGCACCAAGTGGAAATTTTAAGAAATAAAATTACAAAATAATACATGCTGTTACACAACACGAACTATTTTAATGAGCATGGATGTTTGTTTTGGTAAAGTAACTAAAGCAATTCAGTTTAAACTCTTCACAAAGAACCATGTACTGTATGTTTTGTTAAATTGCCTGTAGTTTTGCAATTTCCAGTTTTATATAGATTTTTTCCAGGTGAGTGCATGCATGTATAAAAAAAAATCCTGTTTCATAAGTGAAATAAATTCTAAATCCAATAAGAAAACATTGAACTTTCTGTTTATTTACTTTGGTTTTCCTTTTGGTCCTATTGCCTACAATGTATTAGCTCTCTCTTTGATGGTAGACTATGTTATATCTAAGTGGTTGTGAGATTAAAGATTTAAACATGGATTTTAACAAATTAAAGAAACTTTGGCATTTTAGTCATTGCAAGGATGGGTTATTCACTCCTGCTATATATAGGTATATTTTATTTAAAACTTTTTATAAAGGGAAGGAAAATTGAAAGTTTTTGCTGCAAATGTTATTTTCATGCTTTGAAAATAACACTTCTATAAAAATAACACCTGTAGAAATATCATTTTCATTCAAGGATAAATTGCAGCATTTCACAGTTGAAATATAAAAAAAAAACTTTATTCATCCTAATGACATGCATTAGTTATTAACAATGTTGGTCATATATTTAAGAAGTGTAGTTAAATAAATGACCTTATGAAAAGTTCTATTCACTATGCCATCCAGAAACTGACCAGTCATCAAGGGACCGCTGCAAGATGCTAGGTACACTGGTACACTGTATATATCTAAAGATAGGCTTGGAGGGTTGTGATAATTTGATAATAAACAAAATAAAAAAAGGAAACTTAATATATATTTTTAATGAGGAATAATGTGAAAAAAATTTTTTAGATACATATATCCCCCCAATCAAAAACATTTGGGAAAACAGCTAGAATTTATGCTACACAGACAGACAGATTACTGTAGGGCACCTGCAAATCCTTGTTGGGCCCTAATTAACAAAGTCAGGTACATTTACAAAATCTCAAGGAATGTAAATATATGAAAATTGATTGCTGAAAATACATGAAAAATTTATGTCGTAAGTGAACTGAAAATGAATTTTCTAACCTAAACAGATTGTAATCCACACATTTTCTAAATCTACATGTATCTATCATTATTTCACATCTGTAGTTAAAATAATAAGTCTTTGATCATTACATGTATTTGCAAAATAGGTGCTGAAGATATAACTAATTGTATAATATGGTATTTCATCAGATTATAATTAGCTGACTTGAAACTTTGGAAAATCAGACAATATATAAATGACAGACAGGCAGTGAACAAATAAGTTGTACAAGAACATCATATTATGTTGGGCAGCAATATGATAGTTACAATGTAAACTTGTTTACACACAATTAACTTGCATTAAGTATTATGCCAGCCAATGAACACTAGAAATGGAAATTTTCACATCTGCACTGCCATAAACTTTTACCGTTATCTATTGCAGGATAGCAAATAATTTATTCAAATTTATGAGTAATTAACAGACCTAAAACAACCCTCAGATACATTTTTGGCAAAATTATTAAGTGATGGTATCATTTTTTTCACCAGTATAAATTTGATACATGCATATAAAGATTTTGAGCACTAAGTCATGTGTATTGCATATATCCAATAGAGAATATCAATTGCACATTTCCCTTTATGAATGATACTGCACTATAAGAAATTTTGACATATGGTCATATTCCTGCATGACCTTTATCTGTTTATCAAGCACCAATAATTCTATTATTAGATAAGCCCACCAGCCTGCATGGCCCGGATAGATCGCAGGGCTTTTTTAGCTGCGGCACTTTTAGCAATCCTGTAGTTTCTACCGACTCCTGTAAACACTCCTTTGGTTACCACATTGACGGTCACCCTTATCTTGCCCTCTAATGTTCTCTCTGGTTTTCTGAAAAACAAACATTTTTTTTATCTATTAGTGTTTCTTTCACATTCATTTAAAGAGTAATTTGGTAAAACTATGATTCCATTTTAAATCACAAGGCACATGTACAATGCTGGATTACAGCATATTTAATTAATAGTACAATGTTCTGACATAATTTAAGCATCCTCTACACAATAAGTAATTGGAGTTATTTCCTGTTATAACTGCTGAGAACTTTACAAAATGGCAGTCTCTTACAGAATTATGCATAAACATGATAAACAAAGCTAATGAAAAATGAATTACAGTACTCTAAAACACATATTATGACCATTTTTGACGTAAACTGAAAGAATTCATTGTCTTTATCTTATAATGCTACTTCAGCTAACAGCATTACATCAATGCACATGATTTGACATTTGACTTCCATTTCTGATCATTTCCATTGTTAGAAAAACATACTCAAACTTAGCTGTTTCTGGTTCCATCTCCAACAATTCACGAACAGGAGACTTTGGAATGCTTTTCAGGTACTTGTCTTTCAGAGAAAAAAAAATACCTGTGTTTATACTCAAATATTGTATATGTATTACAAGACTATGGAAACTTTATATTATTGGTTGTATCCATGCAGCAATAAAGAAAAAAAAGTTCACAGATAAACCATATTTCATAAATGATAAGAAGTGAATTAGTGAGGTTGTACCTATCTGGGGTTTCATGATGCGATAGTAAACTCTCCACACTGTATCCAAGGACATTCCACTATCCAGGTAGATAGCTCCAGCTAATGACTCAAATATATCCCCTAGAGCTTTAGGTACCTCTAGTTCCACATGCTCCTCATCTTCTCCTTCCCCCTGAAAATTTTAACAAGATGTTTAATTGAAAGGACATTATCTTTTAAAGTACTTTTTGCTACCTATTGGTAAATTATCTGCATTTAACAATTGTTAGCAGTAATTTAGAGAGGGAGAAAGCTAGCATTTTTTTTAGTGAACACTGCAAATATACATCAACAGCCATGAATTAAAAATGGATAACACAGTTGACCTGCAAAATGTCCAATCCCAAGAATATCTTAAAGTGAGACATCAGTAAATATTTTTCTCCCCATCTGAGTTTCTATTTTGGTATCTTAAATACCCAAATAAAGTTATATTTTTCAAATTATCAATTGTATTGATAATTTTTAACGAACCTCATCATCACTGAGATCAATTTCATCTTCACGTTCTTTCTGTCTGGCCACAAATTTCTCCATGACTCCAAATAGAGGAGGAGATATGGCCTTGAAGTACTTATGAAAGTCCCACTTGACAGCCAGGGCAGCAAATATGTTGTTGTTGACCAACGCTGACCTAAGGTCAGTGAGCACGCCTGGTGAATATTTACAGGAGTCTTCATATAAATGCCTAGTGATGACATAATCCAAAATGGCATCACCAAGAAATTCCAACCTGTTGGACACAAAGTTTTAATTTAGACAGTCTTACTTCTTGAAAGGTTTTCCATCACTAATTAACATTTAAAACAATACTGAAATTGATGGGTTTCAATTCATTCACTTCAAATACTTTAACAGAGTCTGAAAAAAAAAACATGTTTTAATATTTTGACAGATAAAGCATAGGTTTTTACAAAAGGACTATAATTGTATGAAAAATTAAATGAACCTTTGATAGCAGTCAGTGACTGTGTTGTAATGATAAGAGGCATGTGTAAAGGCTTGCAGAAGATATGATTTATCCTTAAATTCATATCCTATCTTCTGCTCCAAGGCATCATATCCCTCTAGCAGGCGGCACAGAATTGACTCATAACCAGGCACATGAGTTAGTAATGGAGATTCTGGACACTGCAGACTCAGCAACTCAGCCTATCAAATAAAATTTTACAGATCACATTATAAGTATTGCATACTGTGTCTAAACTTCTGCTTCCACATTCTGATAGATATGATGAGCTTACTCACCTCTTCATTTGATCCCTTTTTCTTCTGAGGCAAAACTTTCAATCCCAACCAGTGCATGAACTTCAACACTGCTTTTTTACCACAGGAAGTGAGATAGCAGCCAATAAGGGATTCTACACAGTCAGCAATACTCTTGTCAGGGATGCTATGAAGAGTCTGCAGATTGTAGGGGATCACCACCTGGTCCTTCTCCTCCTGCCTCACTCTCTCAGGTAAAGCCTCCAACTCCCGAAGCTGATTCTCAAACTCCTCCTGGTCCTCATTTGAATGATGTTTACTGCCATCTTCAGGATTAATTCCTCCTCCCACTGTGTTGCTATTTGGATCATCTGTCACATCTACAAGTTTGGGGACCCAGTTCAAGGTGGCATTTTCCTGACAGTAAGATTCAATGAGGCTGCTCTCTTTGACCTTTTCTAGCTGGCCAAGATTGTTTCGGATCAGAAGGACTTTTGGGACTGGACCTTTCCTCTTATCATCGTTGATGACATAGCCTGAAGGCAGCCAATTTTCATAAGGTTCAAACTTGGTGGAAATCATGCATTCTGCAAATCCTTTTCTTTTACCAAGTCTGTACAGGTTACAATTACTGACTTGCTTACTTCTCAAGTAACTCAGTTTTCCTTCATGAATGCCCGGATAAGTACAGTACAAATACACAGTAATAGCATACTTCAGAAAGGAATCTCCAATTGTCTCTAGTCTTTCCAAGCTGAAAAAATCATTTGCATTAGACATGGTTAGAGCTTGCAATATGGTACAGGGACTTGGTCCCACAAATGTACTCAAGTCTACTTCCTCATCTAAAGAAATAGACAGAACTGGAAAATTCACATCCACATTGGAATCTTCAGTCTTGGGAGAAACTTTGCCCTGCTTCTCTGAAAGTCTGAATACCCCAACATCTGGAAAGTCACTCAAAATGGGTTCGTTGGGATTGTTCTTTGATGGACTATTTGTGATATGTATATTCATTTCATTCAATTCTGTTGTAAGCTCATTAAGTGCTTTATCTGATATATGAACTTTATCCCAACATTTACAAGAACTTTGATCCTGCAAAGTTTTGCCCCATTCATCATTATGTTTCAAAAATCCATTTTTGCCATGTTTTGAGTTGTCAGACATACTACCCTGAATATCACAGTCATCATTAGCTGCCTTTTTGTTTTGGAATGCTGCATTGATATTTTGTTTTGTATCACAGCTTGCTTTCTTTGTATCACACTCATTCTCTACAGAGAACAACCCTGTGTTATCACAATCAATATGACTAGAAGTTTGTGAATCACAACCATTCATTGGTTTTTCTATAACTTTATCATCTTCCATTTCATCTGTGTCATTGTTCATTGCTCCACTGCACACATTGCTGCTTTCACCCTCTTCCATTTCTTCCTTGGGATCAAATCCAAAATCTAATGGTTGAAACCTGAAACCCTCTTCCAACTTGACCAATCCTATACCAGTGCCCTCTGCAATTTTCATGCGGATTTCATCTGCCACAAGGAGGTAGTTCAATCTGTACAAAATAGTAGGCAAACACACTGCTTTCCTCCAAAGTGATGCAGGGAAGACATGGATTTCACAGAGTTCTGGGACAAGAATTTGTTTTTGTTGTAGATTCTCTCTCCTTGCTTTCTTAGTTTCTGCACTGCTTGTAGGGAGGGCTACTCCCTTCTGATTCATGTACCTAGGAGTCAGCAGATTTAATCTGGCAGAGGTATGATCCACATCCAACAAGGGTTGATCCAAGTTTGTGATTGTCAAACCGTACTTGGTTGTGTAGTAGGCGCTAAATGTCTTGTATAACTCTGGGGAGGGAAATGGGGAAGATGGATTAAGGTCAGACCTGATTTCAGCGACATAAAAATGTTGAGGTTGGTCCACATTGCGATAAGAGGGCATCACCACGGCATCCTCATAGTTCTCTTTAGAAAAAATAAATTGTTCTCTCTTTGAGTCATAAATATTCCTTCTGACATGGGATTTGGACTCTTCCACTTCTTTGACAAAGGCCCAGTCAATGATTACCTTGCCCTCGCCATCTGCAAGCCAGACATAAATGCATTTTCAAATCAAATTCAAAAGATTTATTTCACCAATAATGAGAAATATTTTTATAATGCAGTCAAACCTCGTTATATCAAACTCGATGGGACTGAGGAAAAAATTCAAGATATCCAAGTATTCGAGATATTAAGGATTAAATACCTAAATAATAAATGGTTGGGACTTCAAATTCACTTCCACATATCCATGATATTCAAGTTATCAGTGTTCAAAATACCGAAGTTCAACTGTATTTCAATGGAAAAGAGTTAATTCAGCTGGTAGAAAATGGGCCACATACAGAGAGAGATAGACAAATTTATCTTGTGATTTTTCCAATTGGATTTTTTTAGGACATTTGTAAAATCACTTCAAAAAAATAACCCTTAGAAAGTAGACTGTGGAATATACCATTACTCATAACTGACAAATGTGATGTCTAACTCTAGGGAAAAATGATTTTAATCATGATCTCTGTCATTTAGGATGCACATTTAAATTCACTTTTCAGAAAAACAGAGGTATAAAAATACCTTTATTAAGTGGAACAATGAGGTATCCCAGTTCACTCTCCTCAGGACAAAACTCCATCGGATCCTTCTCCAGACGAAGAACATTGGTGAATGTGAACCTGTGGAACTCCCTTAATCTTACCAATTCCTCCTCAGACAAAGGAACATAACTGCTGAGGAGGTCAATGGAAGCAGTTACCTCCCCTGATCTAGTATACACAGGGAATGTTGGCACCTTGTAAAGAAAATATCTTCATTAAAAAGACAGTTTCCAAAATTTTCTAATACATGGTAATAAGAAAGTGTTTGTATCTGCAAAATTTATTTTCAACCTGCAGTATATAGACTTACATGTGCAACATGGTACATGTATTTATTTCACTTCGCACTGAAAACTTATTTTGCTTATATTAACAGTCATAAAGACACTGTCAGTTCTAACACAGTAGTGACTTATTGTCACACCTTACCTGAGGAATCTGATTGGATGTAAGAATTCCAAAACCTCTCAAAGTCTCCTCAGGGGCACAGATTTTTCGACCTCGAGTGTTTTGTTCATCTGAGATTGGTTTGCTCAAATTCAGTGTTATACTATACAGAATGCACTTCTCTGCTGTGGGATGGCTTTTTAATAATGAGGAAGCTAACTGTAAGTAAAATCAAAAAGTGTATGCAATTCTGAAAATTAACTATATATGTATGACACAGTTCCATTAAGTTCAATGAAGCACTGCTTCCTAGAATACTCTAATATCAACTATTTTTCTTGCTATATTTGGGTGAAAATAACATATATACATGTAAATAAAAACAAAATTTCCCATTATGCAGTAATCATTGATTCAATCTCCATCACAAACCTTCTTGAAATAGTACTGTTTTCTTTTGGTGGTACCTGGTCTTCCCTCTCCACTGAAATCGTCCCCATCTTCCACCTCAGACATCTCCTCCTCCTCCTCCAGGCTGAAGACTTCCTTCCCCACAGGATTCAGTTGATCATCCAGTTCCCCTTTGATAAAGAGTTAACAAAATTAATACTGTATCATCCTGATAGCATGACTTTATGCCTATCTTAAAGCACCTAAAGAATTTGCAGATTTACATATAATAAATATTACCTGCTTTATGTAAACATTCACACAGCTTTAGAGCTACAGCTCTCTTGGCAAGATTCTTTGTTGGCATTGGTTCTCCCTACATAAGAATGAATAAAATGTCAAATAAATTCATCTCAAGTTCACTTCTTTGGGAACAAAAACCCCATTTGCTAATGAAGATAAGTTTTACATTCACTGTAATTATGAAGCAACCACATCTCCTTTTGTAGATAATTTCATACCTTGATAGAGTGTTTGTAAGGGGAGTTAATAGGGAGATTCAGGGTGGCAGTGTACAATGTACCATCCTCACTGAGGGTCTCCAGCATTGTACACTTTGGTGTCAGGTGGGTGAAGGCATCACTGGGTAACTTTGCACAATACCTAAATAATGTATATAAAGATCACATGAAAATGAAATGTATATACTGAAAAAAACCCAAATAGCATTGTTCTATGTACTGTACATGACTATCCAATAAGAACTGCCCTAAATTTAATGAATAATTTAATTCAGAAAAATGATTTCAATGACACACTGGTATGCAAAATCAAATGATAATCTAAAAAGTATTTCTAAAACATGCTAAACAGAACTTTTTTGTCACAAAAACTTCAAAATTTATTGAATTAGAACCTGTTAACAAAAGCAATAGCTGTATCCATGGTAACACAGATTTGAGGATTATCTGAGTTTGGAATGTATGGAGGTAAAAATGAGGATAATTCCTCACAAGGATGATCTTCATCATCTAAATCCTCATCCCCATTCCTCCTGCCTACCAACACCTGAAAGATAGAAAAAAATATCAACATTATCAATAAAGAAAATGCACAGAAAATTTCATTTTCCTATTTGACAATTACAAACATCTTAAATACATGTATATGTATATGCATACAAAGTGCTTAACACCTTGTCATGATATGTCAAGAAATAGTGATTTATTTGTATACTTCATGAAGTTTTGGAAATTAAGATATAGGTTCACTGTTATATGACAGCTTACACTTTCTATTCCCTTGAACACATTATATTCCTTTATGAAGGTCTCTCTTTTGTTCTCCTCAACCAGGATGACATACTCCGAATCTCTTGCCCTGGCTCGCCCCTTAAACAAAGGAAATGGTATTACAGCATCAATTAAAATAGAGTAACATGGACTATACGTAAAAACAATAGTGAAATCTATAGGGCTGGGATGATATATTGATATATCAATAACAAAGATTCTGAGTGAGGACCATAGCATATCAATACATTTGTAGAAATATAAAAATATCACACAAAAAAAAATTCTGACTTATTTTTTCTTTGTTTACTTAACATTTTTGGGGTTTAATTTATAAAATAAATATGCTATATATAAATATTAATTTGAAACACATAATGATTATGACAACTTGTTTGAAATAATTTTGTTTTTACAACAGATATACAGCTTCTATGAATAAATTATTCTTATTTATAAAGAAATGTATATTGTTCATTTCAATACAAACTGAAAATTTTATAACCAATTTAAAATATTGTGATACATATCGTATTGGGGCTCAAATATCATAATACATATAGATATTAAACAGTCCTAGAAATTTATTGACTGTCATATTCTCTGCATTCAAATACTACTGATTTACTAGTACTCTCACCTTTGACTGACTGTATGACTTGTAAGTTCGAGGAGGGTCAAACTTGACGATAAGATTACATTTGGGAACATCAATTCCATCCTCCAAAACAGTTGTGGAAACTAACAAATTAAGATCTTGTAGCCTGAATTTCCTCAGAACTTCCTCCTGTTTCTTCCATCCCCCTTTCTTAGACTTCTTGTCTTTCAATCCTTGTCCAGTTAAATGCTGGCTCTTCACAAAACACAGATTTTCATCCCAGGAACACACTTCTTCTAAGAATTTATTGATGGCTAGGGCAACATAGCGATGATCAACAAAGACAATGCCACACAGGTATTTTTCATTGTCCAAATTCAAAGGATCTAAAGGTTTTTGCTGGTTCTCATTATCTAATTCCCTTTTAACAGCAATATGGAGAATGTTCCCTTTGTATGATCTGTCAGAGGTTTCCTCATCTGACATGATCATCGAATCATCAGACATTTCCGATTCATCATCATCACTATCTCCATCTCGACCCCCCTCATCCCCATTCCCCATAAACCCATCCATGTCACCCCCACTACTCACAATCATGAAATCATACTCTGGCTTGTATTTACGTAAATGATTAATCAATTCATAAACTCTGGGTGTGGAATACTGCAGTAACTCCTCTACATCATAATTAGGTGTAAAGTTTTGTTCAAACAAAGTGTTCACTATCCTTAACTGTGTTAAACAATATCTTAGGAATTTCTTATGAATTGGAACTGTTTCATGCTTATCCACCTTTTCTATCTGATTGATGAACATGCTTGCAATGCATGATGCACACCATGGGCCTAATGTGTAAAGGATATTGAGACATTCAGTGAAGACGAAGATGGGAATATCTTTAGGATCACGGTCATCATCCTCTTCATCTTCCATATTGCACTCCTTCAAAAAGTCCAGAGCATTAGTTAACACGTCATCCAACATTAACAGAGTACCAGTCTCATCTTCGTAGTTATCACAGTATGTCAGATTTTCCTTAGGTCGGATCCCATACCTCTCTGCTATAACTAGAGTGGCCGTCTCTGCCCTGGCACAAAGATCATCTTCTAAAGACTTGATGATGCTTTCCAATTCTCCTGGATCTTGACATTTTTGACTAATAAATGAAGAAGTCAAACCCAGGATTCTAGGTGAAGATAATCTGGGGACAAAGTCATTTATTTTTTTCATAATGTTTTGGTAGGGGTGGTCTTGCTGAAGAATAAGGTGACAGTTTTCCAATATGACTAGACTTAGTTGAGCTGGTAGAAGGATACTTTTCAGCAGTAAATCATTGAACACTGCAGGCTTTGTTACCAGGATTTGATGTTCATTAAGCAGTTTTCTTAATTTTGATTCATCTTCAAACATTTCTGGTAATGGGACTACACCAAGATCACTATGATGTTTGATGACTTGTGACATTTCTTGCATAGCATCATCTGCAATAAAAGTGGTATCACAAGTAATTATAAATGCAGCTAAACTATTACAACATCATTGTAGATTCTCAGATACTGTATACCTACTTTTTTCCAGATGGGATTAATTTACAAAATCCAAAAAAACAAATTACATAATTTTCTGCCTACAGATGATTCTGTGAAATTATGACATGGAAATAAGTATATTTACAGTATGAAAATATAATTAATGAGTATATATACTGTGTTTTAGCATTAATTGAGGGTAATATTTTCCAAGATCTGGAAACTTACCAGAGTTGAGACAGACTACACTTCTTTTCCCTTCATTTTGTAGCTCTTTTCTAAGCTCACCGGAAAACTCTTTCAGAAGCATCACAGATATAAATGTGTTCCCTGCACTTGATCCAAGACAAACAATGGTGTTCCTCTGCAATGCTGCATCAAGGAGTTCCACCTACAAATTAGTACAGAAAATTTCGCTGAACATTCAGTTTTCTACTCTTAAAAAAATATGTAATTGGATATATATATTTATGTTTTCTGAAGACAAAAAATGTGTTATAAGTGTTGCTATGTACTATTGGAAAGTCTTGCATTTCCTTTTCTTTTTCATTCATTATCGCTACCTGGTATGTCCTGGGGGTAAATGTGTGGGAAGGAATGTCCTCATGTCTAAGGTGTCTTGGTAACCTTTTGGAAGTCCCTGTCTCTGTTTTAACCATCTGAAAGACCCAAAATCCATACTGTCAAAAACCTACATATACATGTACAAGTTTGTAAGGATTTTTGGCATAAAAACTATTTACCAATTACTACACACAATCCCCTGCAATAACTAATTAATACCATTTTCATTTTTCAGCTATCTAATAAAGTGTCCAGAGACATGTTCTTTTCATGTTATTTATGCCTCAGTCATGTACCAAAAAAAGTAACAATTACAAAGGTTTAAAAATCAAATTCAATTTGAGATCAGGGAATATGAAAGATGTAAAGTGAAGAGACTCCATAAAAGTAGCTAGCCTTTGAATTTATTCAGAGTCCAGTGAATAGAGCACCACTCTAGAATTCTTGGGGTTGAGGATAAATACCCTGGTCAAAGAATTCTCTTATTTTGCTACCATGGTTTACTTGAATGTGTTCTTCAAGCACAAAAAGTATTCCTGTACCCTCAACATTGCTCAATATATCTAGATTAACAGTGGTATATGCATCATTACAATGCGATTGAAAGGGCAATGCACATATTCCTACTTTTCTTTTGATATCACTACATATCTATATTTATTTCCCAACAAGCAATCTCATAAGAATTTATTGAGCACAAGTGTTGAGATCAGATACAGCGCCAAAAATGGGATGATGGTATACATAGCTATATACCAACACCAATTATAATGCACTATATATATATATGCACATGTATTATAAGATGCATGTGCAGATAAAACTGAGCATCTTCCATGCATACAATAACCTGAGTACTTATATATGACCTCATCATGACAATTCCTAATGATTCCACTCGCTTCAGTTCTCTGTATTGATGAGAAAATTCCAGTTAAAAATAAAATCGCACGTTCTTTTTCTTCGTGCACCCTACCGCACAATCTCACATGTAACGATCTACACATATATACCTTGGCGAAGCTAGCTACGATGTTACACAGGATTTTAATTTAAAGGATTTGAGTTTCACATCATCATGCTGATCATTGTTTCTCTCAACCAGTGAGTCTAATAAAACAGCCATTTTCATTGGACATTTTTTTCATTCTCACCAATCAGAACGTCGATAATAAACACTGCAAAAATTGTGAAGATCCCTTTCTTGGGTTTAGTTTGTGTATTTGACATGAACGATTTGGAGAAATGCAGAGTTGAACAGGTTTAACATCTTTCATTGACCTTTGATTTAGTTTCAGTAAGACTGAATCTGACATTTCTGAAAGCAATGGGTAAACAAATCTTACTGGCAATAATGAATAACATTTTTCGTCTGCATCACAATGTTCACCATAGTCCGAAATATCTGACGTTTTCCTGGCTTTTTTACTATTTTTTTTTTATTACATTTTCAACAATGAAATACTGCGATTTATCTATCGAATAAAAGTGATATTCTCTCACAGTGTGAAAGAATATCAAAATAAGTAAAAAATAATTTCTGGCCTGTATTAAGATAGAGATAGTAACTAAGCCATCTTGATAGAGACTAAAACTGCCATTTTCTTCCCAAATATGTTGCTAAAATCCATGTTACAATGTTTTCAATGCTATGACGTCTCAACTATGACGTCGACGTCACAGCCTATGACACTGTGTTAAGAAAAGACAGAGGCAAAGGGAAAAGGAAAGAAAATGTAATAAACAGAAAATTCAATGTGTTGTAGTTGGATATGGAATTTATTTCACGAGTGAGACAGGATTTTTTTTTATATTTTCAATTGTGCTTCGCACTCGTGAAAATATAAAAAAAAATCCTGTCTCACTCGTGAAATAAATTCCATATCCAACTACAAAACATTGAATATCCTCTATATATTTTACGTGCCAGGCATGTAAAATATCAAAATTGTGAAAAAAGCCTGGAATTTAACGTCAGGTTTTTCGGACTATGTTCACCGCATTTCATAGATATTAGATCTATATCTGATTATACAAGAAAAATTGTTTACTCTTTTACTGGTGTTCATATAAAGAATCAACAAGCTTTCAGTAAAGAGAAATTGCTGTAAAATGTTTCATAACATGAATAAATATAAACTAAGTGTGCACTATATGGAACAGATTTTCAGCTATCAAGTTCAACACCTGTGTTTAAGAGCCTCATGGGCATCTTTTAAGATATCATACACAATATGACAATATCAAAGCAATTTATGCATATTAAAAACACTTTGTTTTATCTTGATTCTTGTCGCTAATGAATTTTGCATGTTTGTCAATGAATACCTACCCCACAGATAAAATGCAGTAACTTTGATTTTTAGGCTCCACCAACTATCTATTATATTCCAAACTTCATTACTGAAGAGGAGGAAAAATACCTTCTACAGCAGGTTAACTCTGCACCTAAACCCAAGTGGACACAACTCTCCAACAGAAGATTACAGAACTGGGGCAAGTCCTCATTTTTTGTCATACAAAAAGTTTTTTTTTAATTATATTTTTGGGAAGAAATATTGAGGTAAAACCAACGAAAATGGTAGAAAAACTATGCTACTGTAGAAGAATGTTTTACTTTCTACAGAAACAAGATCTTGCAAATCTTGTCAATGAGCTATGATTTTTTTTAACAGGTGGTTTGCCTCACCCCAAGGGCATGGTGGCAGAAGAGATACCTAAAGTAAAGTTTATTATTGATTTACTTCTTCATATAAAACTCCAGATACAGTATATTTGCTGTAACTTTATTATTTTTTAAAATACGTATATTGAAGCCAGTAAAAATGTTATGCAGCAGGTGAATTGCAATATTATAATGATTCTTTCAGTGGTTAAAAATCTACACAGAAAAAGTAGCTGCTATAGGATTATATGACAACAAACTGCCAAACCATGTGCTAGTTAATGAGTATCTGCCTGGGCAAGGAATAATGGTATAAACAGTTTAGTTTGTTGCATATATGTAAAATAAAAAGTTTGTGATATCTTAATTTGTATTCTGTAATATGCAATGATTCTGAATTATAAAAGATATGATTTACATTTGCATCCTTTAATTTACACTACCTAATCTGACTTATTTTTCCATGTCTTAATCTTCAAGTTGTTATAAGTTTTTTTGCATCTATTTATAAAGTTAAAGAATAATTTCAATTTTTGGCCTTTCTAGCCACACGAGGATGGCTCTCTATTCTTCCCAGTTGTGTCAACAATAAGTCTTGGGTCTCATATATTGCTGGAGTTCTATCATCCAATCAAATCAGAGAGCCAATCATGTGATGAAGAGGTATGTTGACTGCCTTATCTTTCTGTAAATTTTTCTAGGATATTCTGATCTTTTGCTGAAAAAAAACTAATCTTGTGTCAAGCTGAAGTAAAAGTACAAACAATTGAAACAAAACGTTGGCATAATCTTTTAATAATTTATGTAATATTTACGTGTGCAGAAACTGAAAACAGAAAATTAAATTGCAATCTTTGTTCTTTTATCTTTGATGTTACCACTTTAACAGACTGACAAATGTGAAATGCTCAAAAATGTGTAATAGTGATAGTTTTATGCTGTTTTAATTATTATCATATTCAAATTAATTATACATTAATGAATATGAAACAAATGATTTTAAACTAAAAACTTCTATAAGAATGTGTTATAATCAACATTGACTAATACTGATAATATGTATAAATGAATTAATATTAATAAAATAATTTATCAAATAAAGTTAACTAGGCCTCTAAATAAATTAATTGATCAGAAATAAAATAAACAATCAAATAAATAAAACTTTAGATCCACCCATGGTACTACTTGTACACCTGTATCAAGGGTACATGAGTAGTATTCATCCTACTTCAATTTCATTGGTTTAAATTTTACCTCCAAATTCCTGACCTGAGACAAAGACACTTTTCAGCTGACTGTTCATGGCTATATACATGTACTTTATGACCATTTTATAATTCAAAGAAAATAGACTGACTGTTTGAAAGAAACTGTACATAGTCAACATTTATTTATTAATACTCTGACATCAAAAGAAGGAGTCAGCTCTATTCCACAAATAGGACTGCAAATACTTTTATGATGATTGAATATAGAATAAATACATGATTGAACCTGCAGGTGTTTTTATTACATCATAAACCCCTGTCACAAATGTTTATTTTCCTTTTGAAGGGTCAAATCAAAAACAAAAAAAAGAGTAAAATGCAGTTTAGTATGGTACTTGTGCTATGTGTAAAGCACAGTTGGATAATATGTCTCAAATTTATACCGGTTTTGTAATAAGCTCTTTTTCTGGTATTTTTTAGCCTGAAACTTCATTTGAGGACCGATTTCTAACCTCCATTTTGCTGGAACCAAGAAGTCTCGTGTTTGTGTGTGATGATATGTATAAGACGTATTTACATGGAATTAGTGAACGTACCACAGACAGAATTACTGAATCAGTTGCTAACATTGACAAATGTGAGATAGATAAATCAGTGACAGAAATACGGAGAACCACTAGAGTGTCACTAACTATTAGGCATGTTCCAAGAGTTTTAAAGTCTAAAATACTGTTTGGGAAAAAATGAAATTTTCCTGATTTTGTGTCAGCTAGTGCAAAGTACCTAAGCTTATCAGGTTTTTCTTACAATATACCGGTATGTTGACAAATCACAAAGAGATTTTTAAATGGTACCAAGACTTCACCTTTAATTTCAGCTTGGTTCACCAGAGCTCTTTTCTATCATTATGTGATTTTTTTTTTAATATACATGGATAATCTTGATCACATTAATACAGTAAAACATGCTTATAACAAACATGCTTTTAATAATTTTGACCTTACAACAAAGTAAATTTCCTTTCTCATGGTTTTCAATCATGTTGTAAATTTATGATGGATATCATGATTTATGTTTATAAGGAAGCAAAATTGTCCAACTCTGGCACTTTTGTAAAAGCAGGTTTTACTGTCATTGGGAAGTCTTTGCATTATTCAGGCATACTTGTTTATATGTGTAATCCAGACTGGTCACAGCTGTAACTGCTGTTGTCATTTTGCAATCCAGTTATTCATATACCATGTAAATGCATGTATACTATATGTAGCTGACTTATGTTTACATTATTTTCATATTTTTAAATTGTTAATGAAAATGTACATGTTAATGAAAAAAATACATATAGAAGAACCTCGAGTGTAATATTCATGTGACTTTGAACTTCAAGAAATGGGGTTCAATATAGAATATCACATTTATAATTTAGAAAAAAAAGAATGCAAGCTGTCAGGGAGATACAAGCCAATGACAAACTATAATTTGACAAGATGTGTTTGTGAAACACTGATTCCCCCATATGGCAGCTCAAGGCCAGAATCCAAGGTCAAGATCAAGAGTTCAAAAATATTGATACCCAAGGTCTTGTCACAGGGAATGCCACATGTGAAATATAATAGCCCTAGTACCAACCATAAGTAAAATATGAAAGCCCTAGCAGCAACCCTTCAAAAGTTATAGGCAAGGTTAAAGTTTTTTTCCAAATGTAGGTCAAAGGTCAAGGTCATGAGATCAAAAATATTGGTACCCAAGGAAGGGTCATGTCACATGGAATGCACATGGGATATATAAAAGTCCTAGCACCCACCATTCAAAAGTTATGGCCAAAGTTAAAGTTTTTAAAAAGTAGGTCAAACTCAAAGGTCAAGATAAAAAATGTTGGTACCCCCCAGAAAAAGGACTGGTCAAAAGTTATGGCCAGGGTTAATGTTTGGTAAATTTTGGCAAAAGTAGTTCAAACTTGAAGGTCAAGAGATCAAAATGTGAAATATGAAAGGCCTAGCACCAATTATTCAAAAGTTGTGGCCAAGGTTAAAGTTTTTCAAAAGTAGGTCAAACTCCAAAGTCAGGAATACACTTGTGAAATTTGAGAGCCCTAGCACCAACCATTCAAAAGTTATAGCCAAGGTTAAAGTTTGGTAAAATTTTGCAAAAGTGGGTAAAACTCCAAGGTCAAGGTTAACAGGTAAAATTATGTTGGTACCCAAAGAAAGGTCTTGTCACAAGGAGTACACACGCGAAATATATTCCTTTTTACTATCGTTGATATCATGATTAATATGCTGAATTGATATGCGCAAATGAAAAATTTATATCAACAATTTAATTGATGCACACAGTAATTGAATTGAAGAGAGCAAGAATTCAATTTCTACAGTAATTGAAGTAAATGCTGTCTTCATTTGGATTCTTATGCGCATCAATTCCTTAAATGTGAGCAATAATTGGATTCAACTGAAATCGCAAAATTCTGAATGTGCGCATCAATTCAACTATTGTGTGCAATAATGGATTGATCGAATGATATCTTAAATTAACTAAAGATATCTTCTGAAGCAGTTATTTCAGTTTAAGATGGCGCTTAACCGGTATCATACATGCTATGACGTATAAGGAACAACTTTGACTTATAATGAAAATTCTTTAAAAAAAATAAATAAATAAAACTTCATTCAAATGTTTGCATCGCCTCTTTGTGAGATTCTTTTAGGTATCAGAGAATGAAGGTTGAACATTCTTATAGTCCATACGACATGAATTTTACATCTGATTTCCATGACGTTTACTGAAAGGCACCTGCAATTAGCCTGGATCATCTGGGCCTATACTAGACTTGATTAATACTTGCATTTTTAATCTCAAGCACCAATTTCTGTATCAGTATCTCACCTGATACTTACCCGTTTTGGCATAATTCGACATTCAGTTTCGTTACAGTAAATTACCAATTTAGTAATTAAATGCATTCCAGTTGGCTTTGAGCTTTCAATTATGATGACTGTAGCATCACACACTTGAATAGATGAGTCCTGTCCCCAAACACCACTTTTGATCTCCTAGTTTGCACTTAATTTTACCAAAGGAATTCATAGTAGAAAAGTGAGACTGAGATCAAATGTGAGCTTATCTAAGTTTTATGGCCCCGGAGCCAGGTGTTAAACTGAGAACATATTGAGTCAAAATTAATTTTGATTCTCACTATGTTTTAAAAATTACAGGTTTTTATAAATTTCAAATACTTGATAAAATTTAATTTGTTTGATTATCTAGAGCATTTTAAAAGTTAAATTAATTTGAATTTTTGAATTAAGTCTATTTTCAGTTTATGGTCATGAGGCGAGTTATTATTATTATTTTATTAGGGCCCCACAAGGATTTGCGGGTGCCCTATAGTAATCACTCTGTCTGTCTGTCTGTCTGTCCGTCTGTCTGTCTAGCTGTCCGTCTGTCATTCTTCCGTCCACAAATTTTCTGTTTTTTTCTAATAACTTTTTTTAGGGTTGACCAATTAAGTTCAAATTTGGTATGTTGGTTGAATAGGCAGTAAGACATATTTTGATGCTAAGTTTGGTTCTCTATGTCATCCGGTTTGGAGTGGGGTGGTGGGGTATATTCCTTAACTTTATATAAGAGAGAATGGGCAAAGAAAGATAACTGCTGAGAATGTTCCTATTGCAAACTATGAAAGGCTGCAATGAGTATCTTGGGATTAATTAACCTTCCTCTTGAAGAAAATCCAAAGCATTTATCTTTATCTGCCACATTTAGATTAATTAACACCTCTGTCTGCAAATGAAGTTTGTTTTGAATTTAAGGTCAATTCTGAATGATGTTTACATTCTCTGAAATGTGGATTTAAATAATGTTCATACTTTATTTTGTTAAAATACACAATGAGTTATGATTTTATTGAATTCTAAAAACAAGACATAGATAAAGATATCGTTTTTATTATTATTTTCTTTTTTCTTTTTTTTTCTGCCTTATGTATAAATTCAAGAATACTAATTATTTTAAAGGGTATTCAGATAATAACCTCATTCTATCATTGCTGAAAAAGTTCTTATTGTAAACTTAGAAGAAAAGGTTGAGAGAGCAGTATAATTAATCCCGTGGGTTTGATTATCTTGCTGGTTTGCAGAATATTTTAGAGGGTTATCTCTCTGTCACTTTAAGATTAATTAACACCTTTGTCTGCAACTGATATTTGTTTTGAAGTTAAGGTCAAGCCTGGGTGATATTTGCATTCACTGAAGGCTGGCATTTTAGAAAGCACATGCTTCATTCATTTTTAAATATACATTTAATTGAGTTATAGGTAATACTATGATGTTTTTTACTGCCTTATGTAAATACAAGGATAATTACTATATTTACAGATTGTTGGATATTTAGCAGTTGCTTATTCTTTATTATTTTGAAATTTTTTGGAATCAAGTGAAATTCTCATCCCCTAATCTGCACCCTTATATTACTACCCCTCAGCGGGGCCCTTGCTGACTGGTCAGATTTCTAGTTTTATTTTATTATTATAATTTATTTAATGAATTAATTTTTTTGGACATAAATCAAAATGGATATAAGTTTTTTTAAGTCAATTATGGAAAAAAATTCAATTCAACATTTTCAAAATTGTTGTCTAGGGAATCAGGACGTGTTTTTAGGAATACATATAGAATATATAATTACCATTTGACACTATTGAAAAGAAGAATCTATTACTTTTGAAAATGAAAGTAGGTCGGGTTCGTGATTCATATCAAAATTTTCTTGATGGAAGACTGTTTGAGAAAGAAACCCAAAATTGGGAAAACTGGTAAAATTGCTTTTTACATTAATTTCTCTTCAATGTTTTATTGATTGCAAAGTATGTAACTCTACAGAAATGCAGGTGGATGTGATGACGCAGGATCGTAGGCCCTTTAAGCCTATGATAGGACTTCGCTGGTTTTGAGGACGATGCACATGTACTTGTCCGTAGAGACTAAAACTTTTGGTCAGGCCCCAAGACCATAAACTGAGAATAGACTTAAGTCAAAATTTTGATTTTTAATATCTTGAGTTTTATTTAATGTATTTGCGTAAAAATTTGCAATTTTACATAACATTTAAATTCAAATATATGATAAAAATTTTGTTTCATTATCAAAATTATTTCAAAAGTTATATTGGTTTAAAATTTTGACTTAAGTCTGTTCTCAGTTTATGGTCTTGGGGCCTGTTGTCTCTACGGATCTACGTAGAGACACCAGACCAAAATTTTTAGGCTCTATGGATCCCGCTGAGATTAATGTACTTGGGTCTTGGTTTATAAGTATTCAGTAGGTATACATATTTATAAACCAATTCCCAAGTACCTGTGGGAAGATGCATTATGTATTCTCTTCTGTCTGGCTTATATAAATTAGAATAATCTGTGTCTGGTGACAATTACAGTAGACCATTCCAGGTTTTTATTATGTTTAGCGTTCACCTTAAAGTCAAAAACCTATCTTCTTATCAGGGTAAAACACACAAACTTAAAGAGGGAAAAAAACACTGTACATGGCTCCAAAAAATTGATAGCCTGCTGGACTGGGGCCAGTAAATTCCAGGTTCTATCTGGATGCGAACAAGTCCTTGTTTCAACTTCTGGTGGTTTGTACTATGAAATAATGCAATGTAAATTCAATATCACGAATATTTCTAAGACCAAATTTTCTTGAGGATTATATTCTAAAACATTGTAATGTTTTCTAAATGCTGTTTCACCATGGTGGAACAAGATGCAATGTAATATAAAAACAAGAAATATGTGCAGTAAGACTAGCTATGCTGAATCTGAAATTAGCACTACTAGAGGTGATTAAGAATCAAGATTCAATGGTGAAGAAATATGATTTTTTTTTTCACAGTTGGTTATTAAAATTGGACATAAACTCACAGTTAACTCACACATTAAATATGGTCTGATTTTTATCCCCTTGCAACAAAGTTGGAGCGGATGTAGTAACGCACTTGTGGGAGAGGACTATCTAAGTTTTTAGAACTTGTGTCCAATCCCTTTGACACATTGTCAATAAAATATGTTCAAAAACAATGCACTTGTGTGTGTGTGGGTGAGTGAGTGCATGCATAATGATAGTTACGCAAGCAATAATTTATATCGTGATGTGTGTGTGAGTGAGTGCATGTGTATTAATGGTAGTTACCAGTGGCCAGATAGCTCAGTTGGTAAAGAGATTCAAGGGGCCCAGGTTCAAATCCTGTTCTGGTCTTTCGCATATCTCTCCTCTCCTGTTACATTTGGTGCCATGCCCTGGAAGTGACAGGCGAAAGATCTGCCAGGGAAGAGACTAGCTGGGTTGATGTCTTCAGGGCAAAGACCTTTAAGGAGGGAGGAATGTTGCTGTCAGACAGGTACTATCACCAGTGGCTAGATAGCTCAGTTGATAGACCACCTGACTGGAGATTTAGGGGCCCAAGGTTCAGATCCCGGTCTGGTCAGTCACATTTTTCTCCTCTCCCATTGCATTTCGTGTTGTGCAACCCCCCAGAAGTGACAGGTGAAAGACATGCCAGGGAAAAGCCTGTGTTGGTGTCTTCCAGGGGGAATACCTTTAAGGAGGGAAAAATGTGGTGGTCAGTTGGGTTCGATTGCTGGTGGCCAAATAGCTCAGTTGGTAGAGCATATATGTTTAAAACCTTAAGAGAGAGAGATTTGGTCAACAAACTTGAAAAGGACTGTTCTAAAAAGCGAAATTGGTAAAAAGCTTTTGGGATGATGATCAGAATTTAAAGGCCTACCAAATTTTCTCTTACATGTAACTTTGTACTCAGTTACTATTAATAATGTTTTAAATCATTTTCTTTGTTCTGGATAACTGTACTCTTGCTTTGATAATTTTTTGAACTTATCAATAATTTGCATTACAGCAAGGTTGTTTTGAATATAACAATGTTTTATGTAAGATTAATCTTTTCAGGGGAGGATGTTGATGAAAATAATTACATAATTCAGCAGTTCCAAGAATATCAAAAGGAGCTGGACTTCCGTCATGATAAACATGAACGCCTGGTAAAACTAAGTCGAGATGTCACAATTGAAAGCAAAAGAGTCATTTTTCTAATGCAAAGAAACTCAGGGTAATATATTCTGACTTCTTTAATGCTTATTTTTTATACCCCCCGCAAACGAAGTTTAGGGGGGGTATATTGGAATCACCATGTCCGTCTGTCCGTCCGTCTAGCTGTCCGTCTGTCTGTAGAGGAGATTTTGTCCAGAGCATTTCTCGGAAACTATTGCATAGATTTGTCTGAAAATTTCTACACTTATTATTCACCATATGAAGGCGTGCACCTGGTATTTTCATCATGATTGAATAATTTTTCTGCATTTTACAGGTGTTTTTTCATATTTATTACTGGTATGTGGTTTTGTCCTGACCTTTTCTCAAAGTCTATTTCATAGAATTGTATGAAAATTTGTACACTCATTATTTACCATATGAAGATGTGCACCTGATATTTTCAACATTGTTTGATAATTTTTCTGCATTTTACAGGGTTTTTTTTTCATTTTTTATTGACTTAGTCATTTTGGATTTATTTCTAAGGTTTGAGACATAGAATCTGGAACATCTGTACAAAAATGTGAACTACAGCTTAAAACTATTCATTAAAACAACAACAAAAAATCATCAAGTATTAAAAACAATTTTTATATCACACAGCAGATAGTGTAAATCCATTTGTCCCTTGGGAGTAATGAGTGGACATGCATCCAGTTAGAGATAAATTAATGAGTTCAGTGTGGGAAGTCGTTAGGGCATCTCTGATCAAGCAGGTCTTATCTATATCTCCTGGGAATTTAAAGATCTCTGTTCTTTAATTCTCTTAATTGTAATTTATTGTCTGTCATAGTGCATAGTTACTGGATGACCAGCCTTTGATTTTTAAAATGAATTTGATATAAAGTTATCAAGATTAATTTGATTTTGTAATTAATTGATTTTTTTTTTCAACAATCAATTTGCAGAGTGCCATGTCTCAAAAAGATGACAGATAGCTGCAATTTATTTTTTCAATGTATTAAAAAAAAAAAATGTAATTACAATGTATTGGTATTGATGTTTTATTAGGTTGTTCCTTGGTTTCATTCATTAAAAAAATATAATGAGCAATTATTTTTTCACTCTAAATGTTTATAAGAAAATTGTGAACACCTCTTAGATCCATAAAATATTAGTGATTTGGCACCTCTGAAAAACCCAGCGGGGGGTATTTGTCCCTTTTGGACAGTTCTAGTTTTAAATGGATGATTCAAATAAAAAGCTGAAAAAACTACAATAACATAAATTATATCATTTTCTTAAATGACGCAATGGAGATTTTAAGTTTTAGAAGCTTCCAATAAGCTATGCAAAACAAGATCACTGTGCAATGGTCACAAACTTATTATGAATATATATATATATATTAGGGATGGCAATTTGTAACCGGTTAACCGATTACTCGGTCGGAACGATGGTAATCGGTTAGAAAATCTGTAATCGGTTAATCGGAAAAAATAAAATATATGTAATAAATAAACTCGATTGTCTTAAAATTTATTTCTAAAAAAGAAACCTCTGCATAAAAGATGTTAATTTAGCGTTTTCACCTATCTGTTTAAGCTTATTTGGGGGGGGGGGGGATAATTATTGCTCTCCGGATTGAGATAGCGGGTTAATTGGTCTGTTTGTGAAGTGTTAATTACTGTTTTTAAAAACATCACGTCCTGTAATTCTTTAATGATATTAAATAAATCACTGTTGAGCACTGTGAATTAGTACATGTATGTCTATATTTTCCCGCTATCTATTAAATTATATCATTAGACAAACATTGTAAATTAAGTGAAAGTTCAGACATAGTACTAGTTTTGATTAAGGTGACACTGCAGAATGAACTTGTGAGACATCTGCTCTGGAAAATTATCAATGTCTGATTTTACAGACACGCATGTTTCAAGTTTCTTGTATAATGAAATTGAAATAAAATATATGTACATGTAGGTTCCTGATCAAGATAAACAGAATATTTCTAACTTCTAACATTTTTTAGTCTTCTTGTGTATATGAATAGAGATACGTGAAAAAAGATGTCCAAAAATGTGTACAGTGTATTTTGATACGATTAACCGACTAATCGGTCGGAACGTCTTGCGGTTAACCGATTAGCAATTCTGTATTCGATTGCCATCCCTAATATATATATATATATATATATATATATATATATATATATATATATATATATATATATATATATATATATATATATATATATGGTGCGAGGATATTCTTAGAATGTGCAAAACATTTTCAAAAGAAGCACAACAAAAATCCATGCACTAACATTCATGGACACTGATTTGCACCATTATCAAATAGGTCAGATAAAAATAATGAGAAACTGGAGCAGGCATGGAAAAAGATTCGAGACATCCAACAACAGAAGTTTTTACCGATGGCAAAAGAGCTTCATGGAGAGGATCCATACCAGTTTTTGAGAGCTTATTCTGCAGGTATGCTTTTCTTGTTTCTTTGGGAAGTTTACATTTTAGTGAAACATGAAACAGTAAACACAAATTTAATTTCAGCTTAATCTGCTTATTAGCTGTAGACAGTTTGTGCATATTGTAGATCAGTACCATTGAGATTATGGCTTCCTGTATCACAAAGTCCAGTTGATTTTTAGCTCACCTCAACAAAGTTGGGGGGGAGCTTATGTAATATCGTCGGCATTGGTATCAGCATCCCAGGTTAAAGTTTTTGGAGCAGATTTCTATTCAAGTACCGTATATACTCGCCTATAAGTCGGTTTTTTGGGAGTTAAACTTTGGTCCAAAACTCTGTTTCCGACTTATAGGCGAGTCATAAAATGATTGGTATTTTAGAAGGTCAATCCCTCTGATATAAGCTTAAAAAATGCAACCGACTTATAGGCTGACTGACTTATAGGTGAGTATATACGGTACTTCTATGCCCTATATTAATCAGATATGCATGGAGGATGCTTCTAGTATGTTTTATTGTACCAGTCAAGGTTTCAGATTTCAGCTAAAGAATGACCAAACTTGCATGGATGATATATCTAAAGATAGTCTTGCTTTGGATACTGGATCTGAGCTACATTTACAGGGTGAGTGACCAGGTTAAAGTTTTTGGAGCAGATCTCATTTCAAAGTAACTGTAAGCCCTATGTTGACCAAGATAGCATGGATGATACATCTAAGGATGCACAATACCGGACTTGCTTTGGGTGATGGATCTGACCTACATTTTCTGGATGAGTGACCAGGTTAAAGTTTTTGGAAAAGATCTCATTTTAAAGTAATTATAAGCCCTATATTGACCAAACTTGCATGGATGATACATCTAAGAGTGCATTCTACTGGACTTGCTTTGGATTCTGGATCTGACTTACATTTTCCAGATGAGTGACCATATTAAATTTTTTGGAGCAGATCTCATTTCCAAGTAACTTGAGCCTATGTTGACCAAACTTGCATGGATGATACATCTAAGGATGCAAACTACCAGGCTTTTCTTCTGATGCTGGATCTGACCTACATTTTCTGGATGATTGACCAGGTTAAAGTTTTTGGAGCAGGTTCATTACCAAGAAATGTAAGGCCTATCTGAACCAAACTGGCATGGATGATGCATCATGGGATGAACACTCTCAAACTTGCTACAGATGCTGGATTTGACTTACATTTTCTGGATGAGTGACTAGTTTTAAGTTTTTAGGTAAGTCTATTCCCAAGTAACTGCAAACCTTATCAGACCAAAATTGCATAAAAGTTACATTTAGGGATGCACACAACTAAATTTTTCATTTAGTGTGGGACTTTACCTTACGTAAAGACAACATTCGTTGAGGTGAGCTTTGTAATTTCTGATTACCTATGTGTTATGCAGACAGCTATATTTGCATGTCTTTCGTTCATTTTGCTGTAAATGAATAATTCTCTACCATTTTCAACAGGTCTGCAAGAGTACATCGAAGCTGTAGCCTTTTATCACTACCTCAAAAGCAAGACACTTGTCAGTTTGGACCAAGTACAGGCAGACTTAAATTTTATAGTGCCCTCTAGTGACACAGAGAATTCTCAGGAGAAGACAATCAGTGTTCATGTTCCTCCCTCTGAGTACATTCTGGGTCTGGCTGATCTTACAGGGGAACTTATGAGATTTGCTATCAATAGTGTGGGTTCTGGTGACTTGGACACACCCAACAATGTTTCTGCTTATTTACGTAACATGTTGGGAGGATTTGAATCTGTGGGCCAGGTATCCAGAGAAATGAACCGTAAGGTCAGCACCTTAAGACAGAGTTTAAGGAAGGTGGAGGCAGCATGCTATACTCTACAGATCCGGGGTTCAGAGATTCCTAAAGAGATGCTGAAGGATGTGTTCAGATCAGCACCAGTAGGAGAAATGTCTTACTTAGATGAGCGAGATATTGATGATTGAAGAACTTTTAAACAGGACCGGGAGTTTATGAACTGAGTCTACCAGGGAACTCACTTCTTCTCTTGGTTGCATTTTCACTTGATAAAAAAAAATAATACTGTTGAAAGACTGTATGGGCCAAGGCATTAATGGCCAAAGAAAACTCATGTACATAGTACAGTGAAGAGTATTTAGTTTCCCTTATTTCTTGCAACAGGTCCAGTTCTTGTTCAGATATTTCAAGGTTCAGGTACTACTGGGTATATGTACGAAAGATGTACATATTATTTGAACTATGTTATCTTTCTGCATAAAATTGATCAATTTGTTATCACAGAGAGAAATAAATAAGAAAGCACTTTTATTTTGATTTTTTTTTAATTATTTCATTCTGTATCCAGAATGATATATATAACAATTATTACCTTAACATATTCAACCTTGAACAGGAATTGATGCAATATCTAAATAAAAACATTGTTTAAGTTTTAGAAAACTTCAGAAATCCAACCATACCTGTACAATGTACATGGAATTCTGCCAAAATATACCAAGTAGGAAACATTAGTGATGTGATGAGAAGAAAAGCCAAATGTGTAAATCATTTCAATAAACATAACCAACAGAGAAAAACTAAAAAAAAAATTCTTATAATGCTACACCCTGAATACAACAAACTGCCAAAAACAAGAAGCCCATGGCCCAGAATGCTCACCTGAGACACTACGGCCCCGCTGTTCCTCATCAGCTGATTTTTCCCCTATATAGTCCTATGTAAAAATCTGATCATCCTTACTTTACCCCTGGGGGTCATGATTTGAACAAACTTGAATCTACACTACCTGAGAATTCTTCAATATCAATATGACTAGTCATGTCTTTGCTATTCTGAATTTTTTTTTCTTTATATATTTATAAAACTTTCATTGTCCATGTGGCCCCACCATGGTGGCACCATACCACTGGAGGTAATAATTTGAACAAATTGAAATTGGCCTTGCGGTTCTTGAGAAGAAGTTGAAAATGTGAAAAGTTTACAGACAGACAGATGCCAGACAAAATGTGATCAAAAAAGCTCACTTGAGCTTTCAGCTCATTTAAGCTAGAAAATGCCATGTACTGTATATTAAAAATTCTGTTCTTTCTAAATGATATTACATATTGTCCTCTGTAAAGTGTACAACCAACCATTCTCTTTTGTACGTACATGTAATACTTTGATGCTACTATGTAATGCTTTGATTTCTATGTATTAAATGCTACTATGTAATGCTTTGATAACTACTATATAATGCTTATCAAAGTCAATTTGGAATTTGTTTGACCTAAAGTGTATTATTTCAAGTCAGTTAAAAAATAATACTAGAAAATAGTAAAATACACTGCAGAAAAAAAATCCACTGCCCTGAAAAGAGGTTTAAAGCTAAAGCACCACAAATCTGGAATTCATAAATAAACTAAATATATACACTAATAAAATAAATATATACTCTAATATGTACACTAATAAATGAAATACTCAATTCTTGTACACAAACCATATCAGGTAAATCCATCAATGAAGGCAGATTAAAACATTGTCTTATTATTACATCTACCCTGTTAATATCCCATTTAAATATACATGTATATACATGTCTAACATGCCATCAAGAATATTTAACAATATATAAATCATGAGCTTTATGGAATGCATAAAATGAATACATATACAGTGTATCTAAGTATGGTGAGTATTCTACATTTGAACACAGTTTCAATGAACATGTCATATGGTACAATCTTTTCAGATAGCCATATTATGTATCATATTAATACATTCATCATCTAGTTTTCAGTACAACAACCAGTGTATATTGTGTTTAAGTTCATTAAGGTATTGTTTTTCTGTTCACTCATATGAAATTAACTTTAAGCTATCAATTTAATTCACAGCTAAAATACATGTACTCGCATTTTCAGAATAGTTTGACAAATATTCTTTTGACAATTTTTCTAAAGGAGTGATATCCACTTATTGCAATGAGAGTTACCTCTCTTATCAGAGGGTCAATGTACCTTAAAATGGAGTTTATTGGTTTCTCTTTCCAAATTGATTGTAATGATACTAGACATGAATGCATGTATGATAAACCTTGTACATTTAAAATAGTAACAACAATAGCTGTGCTGAGATCAGGAATTACTGACAATGTCTAAGAAAATGATATGCATTTTTTCCTTGTGCTTTAAAGATGTGCATAGAATACAATATTACTCCCATTTACATGTACCACATATATATTACTAACAGGACTAAAAACACTTTGCTTAATTAGCAATGTCAAATTTCTGTAAGATTTATGATAACATAGTACAAAAGGCAATCTTAAATGTTAAATAAAAATTAAATTCTGAAATGTTAAATTACAGCAATTGCAAGTACTAAGCACTAAGATTTAATAGACATATTAGAAATAGCAAAATACACTTGAAAGGTACATATAAAATACAAGTACACTGTATTAAAATATGTACAATATACTTGCATAAATTGAAACATTTGTTTTGATACCATAACTTTGCATGGGTACAAAAAATATAGTGTAAACTAAATCGATTGCAATGCTTATTACATACCTGGTTATACAAAACTACATTTGTACCATGCAACATTTTAGATTTCACTTTTCCAGTGGAGATTTCAAGACTTCTGATCAATTGTTTGTAGCCTACATCCCTTCTTGTACTTTTGGAATTTTTCTGTGATGCTCATGTTGTACTGTGTTTGCCAGTCTCAAACAAGCCTCGCTTAAAGAAGGGTTCATATTCACACAGGTCCTGCTTGGTAGGTTGTTTACACAGAGAAGAGTGAAGTGGACAGCTTGGAGTCTTCAGGAAAATAGAGATTAGGCCCCTCAAGTATAGCTGAAAAAACAACAGATTAATAAACAAGAGGCCCGGGGGCCTTAACGGTCACCTGAGTATAATACAACAATTGAGAGGATCATAGAGTATAAAATCAACTGATAGATGAAGCTTTGCTGCCCAAAAGCAAGAGAAGTAGGAAGATCAGGATCAACAAAATAATTGGTCTAATATTCAGGAACAACTCATAAATTAAGTTCTAATCTGTCCCCCACTCAGCACTTTCACAATGTAGACTATTAACAAACTATTAGTGCTTCTGTACCATCTTTAACGCCATAATATAACCTCTCACATTGACCTGTCTTGATCTTTGAAGAACATTTAATAAGATATTTTTGTCTCATTTTTATTTATCTATTATTTACAGGTCTATCTGATCATTAAAACTAAGAAAGTACTTTTGTATTATAAAATAAAAATTCTAGCATAATTCTCTTATTCTATTAACCTTTCAAATACAGTGATTAATTATCAAAGGTGAATGGAAAAGGGGAATAACTTCTCTCAGTAGAATAAAAATTAATAGAGCCCTGCCCAGGACCTGATTCCTTGACCAAATCAAAATCTGGTAAAAATACCCTTGCTTATAAAAACTTTTACTCAGTTTGCCTCTGATATTCCCAGAAGCAGAGAAGAATTTCACATGTATAATATTCACTACAGATTCAACACAGCCCTACCCTAACACCAGAACCCATGACCCAGGGTCAAGAAATTTACAAATTTGGAAGAGTTACTCTCAGCATCATAACTATGCACTTCAAAGAATTAACACATTTCCACTATATTATCAATAGCCCCCCCCCCCCCCCCCCCCCCCGGTAATGCCAGAACCCCTGACACTGGGATGGGACCACAAGTTTTAAAATTTCTGTTAGAAGCACCCTTATTCATCATAACTATGCAATTTGTTTATCTACTCAACACTAAGGAGTAATTAATTAATTGATTAAAATAAATAAGGACTAATTAATAGAATTAATACATTTTCATTATATTATCAATAGAGCTCCACCCTTACACCAGAACATCTCACACAGGGGCAATGAAACTCAAAATTCTGAATGAATCACTCTTGCTCATCATAGCTATACACTTAGTTTCTTTGCTTTATAAGCAGAAGAGAAAAGAACATTTTCAAAGATATAATGCTTTTTTCACTATATAATCAATAGAGCTCCTACCATCAGAACAGAACTCCTTTCCATCAGAACCCCTGACCCTGGGGCAATATATTTCATAATTTTGGAAGAGGCATCCTTGCCTATCATAATCATGCACTTAGTTTATTAAATAATCTCCAGGGGCAGAGAAGAAGATTTTCAAAGTATTAATGATTTTCATTATATAATCAATAGAGCCCCACCCTAACACCAGAACCCCTGACCCAGGGGCCATGACATTCCTAATTTTGGAAGAGGCATCCTTACTCATCAGAACTATGTACTCAGCTTGTTTAATGCCCAGGAGCAGAGAAGAAGATTGTCAGAGTATTAATGCATTTTCACTATATAATCAATAGAGCCCTACCCTAATACCAGAACCCCTGACCCAGGGGCCATGAAATTCATAATTTTGGAAGAGGCATCCTCCTTACTCATCATAACTATGAACTCAGTTAGTTTGTTTAATACCCATGAGCAGAGAAGATTTTCAAAGTATTATGCATTTTCACTATATACTGTGGAATCATCATTGTTCGTGGGGGACCAATGTTCGTGGATTTCGTGGGTTACCCTTACCCACGAATTTACATCCCCAGGAACGTTTATTATGTAAACATATATATTAATTGAATCTACCGTATAAATGAGTAACCCACGAAATTACGTCCCCTCGAACAAGTAAAATTTTGCTTGTCCACGAACATTGACCCCCTTGAATTAAAATGATTCCACAGTAATCAATAGAGCCCCACCCTAACACCAGAACCCCTGATCCAGGAGCAATGAAATTCACAATTTTGGAAGAGGCATCCTTGCTCATCATAACTATGTACTCAGTTAGTTTGTTTAATAACCAGGAGCAGAGAAGAAGATTTTCAAAGTATTAATGCATTTTCTCTATATAATCAATAGAGCCCCGCCCTAACACCAGAACCCCTGACCCAGGGGCCATGAAATTCATAATTTAGGAAGAGGCATCCTTGCTTATCATAACTTTGTACTCAGTTAGTTTGTTTAATACCCAAGAGCAGAGAAGAAGATTTTCAAAGAATTAATGCATTTTCACTACATAATCAATAGAGCGGCTAGAGCCCCACCCTAACTACAGAACCCCTGACCCAGGGGCCATGAAATTCAAAATTTTGGAAGAGACACATTTGCTCATCAAAACTATGCATTAGTTTGTTTCCTGAATACCCAGGAGCAGAGGAGAAGATTTTTTCAGGAATAATGCTTTTTCACTATATAGTCAACAGAGCCCCGCCCTAGAACCCCTGACCCTGGGGCCATGAATTTCACAATTTAAGTAGAGGGCTCAATGCTTATTACAATCATGCCAACAGTTTGACTGCTTGATGTCCAGGAGTAAAGAAGAAGATTTTTAAAGATTGCATTAATTTTGATGGTTTTGGCCCCACCCCTCAGGCCCCAGGGGGGCAGGGGCCACGAATTTCATAATTTTTGTTTCCCTTAACCCATAGATGCTATATGCCAAAATTGGTTGAAATTGGTTCTCTGGTTCCAGAGAAAAAGCTGAAAATATTCAAAAGTTTACGACCGACGAACGACACACGACAACGGACGAAAACAGATAGCAATAGGTCACCTGGGTGACTCAGGAGACCTAAAAACCTGACCTCTCTATCAAGAAGCTAGCACTAAAACCACTAGGCCACCATGATCAGTCTTTGCCAAAGCAGAAATTGTATGTTAGATCAGTTGATAAAAGGTATCAGTTGCCAAAGCAGAAATTGTATGTAGATAGGTTAGTAAAAGGTATCAGTTGCATGGAATATGATAACCTTTCACATATGAACTTCAAATGAATACAGATATTATAGTATTGAGAACTAAGATGTACCTCTAGCAGTTTTCTCCTCTCTGCTACAACTTTATCAGATCGACTAAACAGTATCTTTCTTGGTGGAAAGGCCAATTGTGAAACCTACAACATTTTACCAATCACGCATATAGAATACAATGTATAAGTTTTCATCTATGTGTTTGAAATCCATAAATACAGGTACATATATGAAGTTTTATAATATTCATTCAAAAGAGACTAATACAGCACAAGTCCTGATAAATTTTTAAAAGAATTTAGGAAATTAAAAGAATATACTTCCAGCCTTTTGCATGTAAAAGATACTGAAATGAAATACTCATAAGATATGAGTACCTGGTATTTTGAAAAGTATTTTCATACCTCGGGAAATTTCTTTTTCATATCCTGATGGAGTTGTCGAAATCTACTGTATCTCCTATATATACTCCAAACATCCTCATCTACTGCAATCTACATGAACAAGGAAAATAAATAAATAATTTGTCTGGTTGTAAGAACAGGTGGAGAGTAAACAGAGACACCACAAGGAATTCAAAACTACATCAGCACTTGAGTTTATTATCACACTTGTATGAGCATGTCTAATTAAAACACAGGTAATTGCAAAGATTTTACCTTTACTTCATACTCATAATGAGTATCTGATCCATATCCATGTAGACGGTAGGTTGGAATGCTAATTCTGATCCGAAATGATTCTAAAAAGCTGCCAGAGTAAGATCCTGTCCCAGTCTAAAACATACAAAGAGTTCTACTGATAATCATCAAAAAAAAAACACTGTACACCTTAAATACTTTTACCCTGGTACATGTTCATTAAAGTACCCCAATTTTGTATTTTCAATTTTTTAATTTTTTTTGGGGGGGGGGGGGGGGGTGTTGTTGTTTTCCTATGGATACTTGATACTTATTTACATACATGTATATGTACTCTGTCGACTACATACCACAGAGCTGGAACTCCTGGCCCTGGAGAGTTGGTCTGTAGAGGATCCATTGGAAGGAGACTATAAAAATTAGAAAATGTTTAGAAATCCACGAAAAGCAAATAACACTTCATACATGTTTAAGTATTTCTACCAGTACAAAATTAATCTGATAGTTTAATAGGGATCCTTCAATTTCTTTTTAATAAAACTCAAATTTATTCACAAATGCATATGTACTACTGTATAGTATGTCACAATGTTAGGTACTGTAAAGCCTCACCATTCCAGAACCATAAGGATTAGAGCGAGTATGCAGAGAGGTCATGGAGGAATGTCTGAAAGATTAAGAAGACTGACAATACATCACTGCTTAATTAAACCAAGAGCCATTAGCATGTTACATTTCAATGTACCTCTGCTAGACAGCAGGTCACAAGAAAACATGACTTTTGCACATTACTTCAGAGAATGTCAAAGTCCACAGATCAAGAAAAACAGCAATTAATTTTTGTTACTGAAAAAATTCTGCTCTTAAGGTTTAAATGTCAAAAGATGTTATAAACCATGTGAAAAAATAGGTACTTGACTGCTTAATTGGTAAATAAAAAATATATTATCCACAAACTGACTTCCACAAATTATGACAATCCCACAATAGTAGATATATTTTTTTTAATTTTCCAGTTAAACTGGGGAGTGCCTATAGCTAAAACTACTTGTTTTACAATGTACATGAGACTAACCTTGACATTTCTTGGTCAGCCTCAAACTTAGCCTTAAGCTGTTTGATTTCTCTGCTGTGCTGTTCCTTCAATTTCTGGATTTCTAAGTCTCTTTCTTGTCTCTCCTTTTCTCGCTCCTGTTTCCGTAAGTTTTCTCTCTGTTTTTTCTCTTCAAACAGCCGTCTTTTAACTTCCTGCTCCACCAAAGCATTGATTCTAAAAATAAATTATTAAATGCAATAAGACTTCTTCTGATTTTTACAGCTTATTCTGTGCAACAATTTATTCATTAAACCAATTAAGACTTCAAGATTAATTTTCAAATATTTCATAACTTAAAAATATATTTTGCACCATCACCCAAAAAAAAATTGAAAACAAAAACTCCCAACTTCATTAACTACTGAACTTCCAGACTTTAATACGAGATTCATTGGTTCAGTAACATGCTAGGATGGTAATTATAATAATGCATAACAATTCTACTAAAAGAATTGGACTCTTTTTATCCCCCAATTCGTCAATGAAGTACAATGTATATGCAGTGGTATTTCTTTAACCACTTAGTCAATGATGACATGCATCAAAATAAATTGTGGTCCCTGTTAAAATTTGAAAACGAAAGCAAACTTATGGCTGGTGATTAAACCACACTTACACATATTCATGCCATCTTATTCTGGAAATCATGAGAAAATGTCAGAAAATATTGAGAAAAAAATGCTTAACATAAACTGAACTGAGCAAATGATCCCTTAGAATGTGTGCAGCACCATCCACAGTACAGTATTGTCTCCAAATATAAAAACTTTTCAAAAAAGGCAGTCCTTATAAAACTATATTTTGTAAAAATTCCAAAAAAAGGATGTTTGGACTTCCCACCAACCTTTCTTGATGCTCTAGTTCCTGAAGTTTGAGTCGTTCAAACTCTATCTTATCAAGCTCAGCATTTCTCTGCTCATCAAACATCTTCCATCTCTCTTCCAGCTCTTGTTCTGTCAGTTCCAGCTTAGCTTTCAGATCTTCCACCTCCTATATAAAACAACCACAAGGTACATGTATATGATTTTATATCAATGTCTTATCATTTTCAAAAGTGGATTTTTTCTGTAACTTTTTGCAATGAATATGGGTCTTAACCAAACATTAAATAGAGAAACATGTACAAGCTAATTTTTCTTAATATGGATCTTATCTGCTGATACTCAATATTGTACAAATATCTGTTATAACAAAAAAAATATCACAAAACATTGGTCAGTTATATTTAAACCTTGTTCCAAATGGTTAATGCTCAACATTTTGTTCATATGACCCCAATACTATTTATTGCACAGTTATAAATGTTCTTATTTAAAGGCAATTTCTGTGCAATTATTCACGGCTCTGTACAGTATGCTTCAAGGTTCATATATTATTGATGAGAACTTTACTTTCCCGTTAAGACTGTTAGACAATGTCACAAAATTATAATTAAATAAAATTCTTATGAACAAAATATATAATACACACATAAATAATCAAATATTTACTTACTTTGAGTTGACACTGTAGAGTTGGATCTTCAGTATCAGTTATGTTTACTTCAGAAGATTTTTGTTTAAGTAATCTAAGACAACAATTCAAGATACATCTTCAAATTTCCTCATAATAAGATGATTAAATGGTAATTTTAATTTCTCAGAAAAGGGCATTAAAAGATCACCATACCTTAGACACATGCATGCACACTTGAAAATCAAGCATTTCAACCTTTTAAATTAGTTGTACTCTTTTTGAATGACAATTTTTCAAAAATATAATTCTGTGGAAATAAATCATAAACAGAACTAAGGAATACCTCTCCCTCTCAGACTTGAGATGACAGAGTTCTTCCTGGAGATTTTCCTCCACCTTAACAACCTTTGCTTTAAGATCCATCACAGCTAGTTCTTGACTTTTTTGGCCTGAAGCCATATTCTCCTGCAGCGACCTTTTTCTTTGCTTAATTTCATCTCCTCTGATATCCTTATCCTCACATAAGCTTTTTAAGCTAGTTTTCAGTTTCTCGACCTCATGTTCTGAATGTGAAATCTCCCTTTTTAATTTGTGTTTAATTTTTTCTCTTTCTTTCAAAGCTGAGTGTAAATGGCACAGATTTTCATCCTTTGACACAACTATATTATCCCTTTTCAAGGCTAATTCACCCAGCACCTGGTCTTTATTCTCCTCAAATTTCTCCATTTCTCTTTCAATTTGGTCCAAAAGCAACTTTTCTTTGTGTGAGGTTATTTCTTCCTCCTCCTTAAGCAGTTCCCTAGCTTTCTCCAGTTCATCTTGTTCAACCAACAATTGGTCTCGTTCCTCATTATCTTGGCACTGATTCAATTTCTTCCTCAACTCCTCCTCATGCTCCCTGAGATCATGCCACGCCTCCTCTATTGTTTGATTGGATCCTGCTATATCTTCCAGAGGGCGCTGCCACCTAGATTTCATCTCTTCTTCTTCTTTCCTGAATTGTTTATTTGCTTCCAAATATGATTCATGCTCCTTTTGATAAAGGTTTTTCAATTCACCATTTTGCTCTAACATTGTATCCCTCTTTGAGTTAAATTCCTCTTGTACTCTGGATAATTCAGCCTGATTTTCTTCTGCCAGTTTTTCACTCTAGAAGAGGGACCAAAAAAAAATCATTTCACTTACTAACACAAAATCAGTTTTGTTTGTTTGTTTTTCCTTTCCTAGGCTTCATAGAGCAAAAAAAGGTGAAAACTTGTCCATCTGGATTTCACTCCTGAGGTACTTAACATGATTCTCAACAACAAAATGGATAACAAAATTTCCAAATAAACTAGAAGGATAACTAATCTAAGTAGATTTGACTTACCTTTGACAACGAGTTTTGTTGTGCTGTGATTTGTGTCTGTAAATCCTGGGAGGCTGTCTGGAATTCCTCTTCTACAGCAGACTCTTCACACACCAGCTGATCTATCTGTTCTTGTTGAGAAGCTGTCTTTTGTCTGCCCGACTCCTGTAACACCTTTATCTCCTATAAAAAAAATCTTCAGGTTAAATCTTTCCAACAGTTTTAAATTAAGCATGAATTTTAACATACTGTAAACCACCTATTATTCACGTCATCTTTTATTCATGATTCGTCAGTTTGAAATCAATCCGCAACACTTAATTAAAGCGATTGAGGAAACATTCTCTACAAATACAAAGCAAAATAAATCGTTCACAGTGATTATTATTTGCGAAACTCGCGGATATTTCTCACACGCGAATAGAAGTTGGTTTACAGTAAAATTAATTGATGGTAGCAAATATTTCAAATGTACACACCAATGATCTTATGGCTAATTATACCTTTTTAAGCTTTTTAATAGATTCCTGAGCTTCTTCTCTCAGCTTTTTCTCCTTCTCATCCAATTCCTTCAGCATTTCATCAATATGGACAGTCTAAAGAATTTTGATTACATATTGTAACTTCATACATTACAAAAAGATTTTTTTTTAAATAATAAACAGCATAAATTTATTTTATTTCAACATAACTTTGTAGAATCCTCCTTTTCAAAATACTAACTTTGTGTTTTTGACTATCCAGTAGTTGTTGCTTTTTCTGCAAAATAGAAAAATGCAAGAAACATGAATAAGTCCACCTAGTGTATACATATATTCACATGTACTAGTAAATGTATATCAAGAACATGGTCATGAAATAAAAGAATCAATGCACTTGTTACAACAGCGCTATTAATAACTTTGTAATTGTACCTTCTGAAGGCTGATTTCTAGTCGCTGTAACTCATACTGCTTCTCTTCCAGATCTCTCTCTAGCTGCGATTGTTTGGACTGGCGTTCTTCCTCAGCCTTACTGTACTTTTTCTCCAGTAAATTAATCTGTAACCTGTATTATACATCAACAAAATATCAGGAGCAGATACAACATTTTCAATGTTTAGATTGCATTCCATAACATTAGCTATGATACTCAATTTTGAGGGGCAAGCTACATAATACATATCTAACCTTTTCTCCTCTATTTTCTGCAGATCTTCATTACGGGCTTGTTCAAGTTCAAATCTGTTCATAAAACAAATCAACAAATAATTGTTTAGTAGTAAGTATCTCATTAAATTAATGTGACATGTAGGAGAAGTGAGAATTACACAGGGAGCTATGGTGTGCTTTTATCAATAATCTTCAACTACTGATCTTGACCTTTAACAAAACAACCTCAAATTCTAGAAGCCTCTTAACTGTGTGCTCTCTTTTAGTTGACATGATTATTTATCTATATCTCAAGATATATGCAAGGAAAAATGTTTATGGAAATATAAATGTTGATTTCATGTTTTATCAATTTTTTATGAAAATCTTCATGTGTTTTTCTCTCACCATTATTTATCTATATAATGAAAATTTATTTTTTTAGGTCAGAAAACCAGAGTTTCTGCATCACCTTTATATGGTGTATGTATGTGTTTCTGCATCACTTTAATATGGTGTATGTATGTAACAGCCAAATCAATAGTTTTGTTTTAACCTTGATCTTTGATCAAGAGACCCCAAAATCAATGGATGTCTTCTAACCATTTTATGTAGTACATGTACAATGCTTGTAAGTTAAGGAGTGTAATATGTAATCAAAGTTACTGAATTACAAAGTTCATATCAATAATCACAACCATTAACCTTACAAATCTATGTTTGTCTTCTATCTCCCTCCAACTATAGAGTAAATACACAGTCTGAAGCATAAAAAATATGACTACTTGTATAACATTAATACAAGTACAATACATGTACTGGTAATGGTTTATCTATCATCTTGCCTTTGACCTTGTTCTTGATATAGTGACCATAAGACCTTTGTGTCAAATAAAAAGTGTTGAAGGATCAATAGACAGGCAGACAAACTGACATAGTAATTGTTTAAGGGCATCAACATCTCAGTGCAGGGACCTTATGAAAAGTCAGAGTAAAGTTTTATTTTTTGGGAAGGATTATGATCAGATATGTTACATGAAACCACTTACCCAACAGACATGAGAGATAGGTTTTCTGTGGATCTGTATAAATCAGACATAGATTTACTCAACAGAGAAGTCCTGGAAAGGCTTAAACCACACTGAAACATAATTTATATTATAAATACACGTACATCATCATGCATATGTAAAACATGTTTATTTTTTATAAAAATTTCCATTCAAAATTCTTTAAAATATAAAATTTATTCAATTAAAATATAAATATTTATTCCTCATGGAGAGAATCAGTGATCTCCTGTTTAAATATCTAAGATTTAATAACTTACATTTTTCAGCTCTGATTTGAGTTTTTCAGCCTCTGCAGGGTTGTTGTATCGGAACATGTTTGTTTTTCCCAGTAAAATCACAGCACCTGTTAATAAAGGCAGTCTACATTTAGTATAAATTTAATTTTGATCATGCAATCTCTAATCATTCAGAGGAATTGTAGGAATTGTAGTAGGCATAAAATCAAGAAAACATAAACACATAATTTTCTGCCTACCTTGTGTTAATTTTGTGGGTTCATTAATCACATTCCCATTAACAGCACAGAGAGCATCATCCACAGGATAGAGAGTTACCTCCCCATCAGTGTTCTCAATCCAGCAGTGATATCTCTCCACATCCACCCCAGCTATCACTGAAACATTGTTAACATACATGTAATCACTGTACAGAAATCATTGATACTATCACTGAAACATTGTTAAGATACTCACTTTACAGAAATCATTGTAACTGTGAATATGGATATTAAAAAAAACAACATCAAAATGAAAATGTGTCAGTTCTTCAGGATGAATAGAAACAAAGAAATGTATATATGTACAGTCAAACTTCATTATCTCGAACTCAATGTGACTGAGGAAAATTACTTTGAGATATCTGAGGATTCAAGGTTAAAATATATAAAAGAAAAAGTAGTTGGGACTTCCAAATCATTTTGGCATATCCATGGTATTCGAGATATTGGTGTTTGAGATATTGAAGTTCAACTGCACATTAGATTAATGTTTAAGTTTTTTGTTGAAAGCATCATCATTGTCCCTTGTGAAAATGACCAAATTGAGCTTAGGAATCAGATGGGTATATTTTGACCAGTTTTTCTCACCTATATCTTGGGAATCCTCAGCGTCCCCTCTTCCTACTGAAGTTCTACCCTCCTGCAATCAAAGTATGGAACTACATGTATGTAAATTGTTCAATAGTTTTTCAATCCATTTAGACATGTACAGTATATTTGTACAATTTTTTTTTTTGAAAAAGGCAAAACATTCTATCATAGGTCCTGAAAGTTGCAAACCTATAGTGAGGGAACTACATGGTATATAAAATATAACTTACTCAAAAATACAATAAATAAAACATCAAAATAAATCAGTCATATGAATTATACATGTACATGTACTTTCCATGCAAGAAAAATGAAATTAAAAACTTGAATACTTGAACTTCTTTTAGATTCAGAAATAAAAATGAAATTTGAAAAAAAAAATCCTTTAAATTTAAATCTTTTAAAAAATGAATTGCTAAAAAACATAACAGTGTAAATTTTCCTGGAAAAATTACTTACAAAATTGAATTTTTGTCCTACAAATCATTCAAACATATTGTATCTATGACATAGATTCAAATAAACTGAAATTCTCCAAATCTTAAATTCTTTATCCATTGTATATAAACAGTTTTAAAAGATACATGTATTTAAAATTACAGAAATTTTACACTTTCAGGTCCTTACTTAATGACAATGATATAAGTTTGTACATTTCAATCTGACCTACTTTCAGATGGTACAACATGATCCCTGTGCTAAGTATATCATCATCTATTCCAATCAGGTGAGGCAATTTAGAGTCCAGGACTACACCCATCCCCTCTCTTCTAACTGCTACATTCTGATCCTGTAGAAATAAACCAACTCCTTCATATATTTGGTTTCTCATCATGAAAAATGTTGCATGGAATGTAATGTTATCAATCAAGATAAAAAGTATCAGTGTATAAGTAGGATATACATGTAAATAAAATTGAAACTAAGTGAGTCAATTTACTACAGCTAAACTAAACATCTGTTACAAGAGTATATTTACTACCAATTAACATGATTAATTGTTACATATACATCTCAACATATGTGTACACAATGAATTCTTTCATCTATAGTAAGAAAGAGACGATACTCTAGTGTGTTTCTAACAATTATCATTTGGATAAACTGTTAATTGCAGAAACTCCTGGATTAAAATTAGGTCCTGACCTTGAGTATTTTGGCTGCTTCATTCCATTTTCCTGCCCATTCCTCTGTTAAGACTTTGACCCGAGCCTCATTCTCATGTAATTTTTCTTGCACTTTAGGAGTGGAAATGCTATCCTGTAGCAACAATAAATTATTCATGGATTTTCAAAACTGAATGACTCTGTTTCAAAACGCAACATTTCAAATATTTTAGTATTTTGTACAGATGCTTGTCTCAAATCATATCACAGGAAAAACTGACGATTTAGAAACATTGATGCATATCTCATCATGTCAGTGTTTCCATATTTTCTTATTTGAAAGAAACTCTAGAAGATTTTTACTGTTTCCACTCACTTTTCATAATAAAATTGTCAATTGTATCTGTACTAATTGTATTTCAGAAAACACTCTTAAAGTGTTTTCTGCATAGTGTACAAAACTTGAAAGATTTTAAGTATTGCAGTATATTGGAAACATAAATTAAAGAGAAAATACAAATGTAAACTCTACAGTACGTACAATATTTCCGCCCATCATAGCCTTCAGTCTGGCTATCTCTTCCCTCAGCTCCCTGATAAGACGAACATTGGGATCCTACAAAATAGTGAATGAATACAAGCTACAAAACAGTCTGAATTGCAAAATAATATCAATAATAAAATCTGTGTTTAATTCCATTTCAAAAAATGTTTGAAATGAATGAAATGAGACAAAAAAATTGGATTCAACAAAGACTTTATTTTCCCTCACTTCATTCACTGTGGGTCTGTTAATAATGTTCTTTGCTCTGTTGGCGTATCTTAATGTGCTTAAAGTCTCGGCATAATTGACATCTGCTGGTGATATTGCTGGAACACATACTGCCATTTTAGTATAAGGTACATCTTCAAAAATGCCATTCAATCTCCATAGCTTCCCTAAAGATGTAATCTACAACATGTACTTACTTGCGATCATGATAGTTCTGGAGTTACCTCCCAAACTGTCCTTTAAGAGCCATGTAAGAACAGAGTCCCTGTAAGGGATGAAGGTTTTCTTCTCATGCTTGTGTGTTGAGATGTCAGCTGAAACAATTGTAACATCCACTAATTACTCAAAATGTATATGCACAGTGTATATACCCATTTTTTTTTATATACATGCAACTTCCTGTGTGAAGAAATAAGTTACTCTTTAAGAGAAATCCTTAACCTCTAATACATGATTTAATAGTTTCATGCTTACTCCAGAAGAGAAATCTACAAAGAGTCTGATAGAAAAGAATAGAGTCTCTAAAAACGCTACCTAATACTGAGATAACAGATCCCAGCGTTACTAGAGACTTGTTGATGCTCGCTCCTTCCTTCAGTCTCTGGCCTGTCGCCCCTGATGCATCTGCTCTCTCACTGAAAATGTGTCAACAATGACTTATTCCTCATTTAATCATCATAGTGAACAAAGTAAAAATTCAACTGTAAATCCCATACCACATCAGGAAATTTATCATTTATGGAATTTTAATCTTTATTACCCTGCATTCATAATGAAATTTTTACAAATTTGCTGGTTTTGGAAAGTGAAAACTATTTAAGATTTGTGCAAGAAGAGTCATGTGAAAAAGGAGGGAATGAAGACAAGACACTCCAAACACACACCTGCCAGCCAGATCCACCAAGTGTATCTTACTGCTCATCTCGCAGGGCATGTCATCACTAAACTTGGCCTACAGACCAACAGAAGGCATGCTCATAAAGTTCAGTGGTGAGAAAATACTAATACATGTACCAGTATACAGAATGTTAAGGTAAACAGGTCCTACCGGTATATACTGTAGATTCCTAATATGTTAATATTCAAGACTAATACGTCCTTATTTCAATAGAATGTTCATGTATCAAATTGAGAAAATGTTTTGTGAAGACACCTAGAGATGATTCTTTTCAGAATCGTGAACAGTAAGTGAATAATAAATGTCTTCCATATCAATGGGAATCTACAGCAACCTAAAGATGATTAATACAAGGAAAAATCTCAATTGTTCTTATATATTAGATAGTGCAATTAGCATGCAAATATACAAATTTTCTACAGCAAAGAAATAATTATTGTTACTTTATATCTGCTTTTTTTCTGACTTCATAACCACTTAACAATTCACCTGAGTGAAGACGATGGTAAAGATAGCATGTGATCGACTGCTAACATCATTCATGTTGGTAGAGGCTGTTGTCCTGTCAAAAATGATAATGAAAGAAAAAATCAATTTCTTTAATGGTACACTAAAAAATTGAACACCGATTGTTTTTAAAAATTAACTACATATTTTATTACTTTTCCTGACAATAACTTTGATATATCTGAATACAAACCTTATAGAATTTCCCCTGTCCATTAAGTCCTTTATATCAGAGAAGTCACTGACCACATGCTTGGACAAATCTACATGTACAGGACAATTTTTGAAATTTATATGATTTTTATGTTCAGTGTGACAAAGATTAATAGGAAATCAGTCAATTTTAATTAAGTTGAAATCAGCTTTACATTTATGTGTTCTATAGTACACCAATTATGTGTCAACCCTGACCTTGAACATATGGTCCTTCTATTGGGTGCTCTCGTACTCTAAGGTTGTGCATTGCTTTATTTGGGGACTGCTGCTTTAACAGGTCTCTCACTTTCTCATTGTAGATTTCAAGGTAACTAGTGTATATAACAACGAAAACATCTGGTCAACTATTTACAAAAAAGACTTCTTCAACAATATATATACAGGTGAATATGAATGAAATTTACTGCAAGTTTTGCCATGATCACATCAACCTTCTACAGAATTCAGTACATGTAAACAGTGATGACTCATTCATGTTGTAAATATTAATTCATTTCAAGTTATTGCAAAATAATAAACCTAAACCTATAACCTTGTATCCAAGTGACCTTTTCATCAGCGTGATATGTATAGTGTCTACTTGACAATACATGTTAGCACCTTTCTAACAGCACATGTTAGCACCTACCTGACCTCTGTTCTGTAATTCGTATCTTCATCTGTCATTTTTGAAAACAGATTCTCACAAATCCTAGGAATTAATCCCTGGTCTCCCTGCAATACACAGATTTATAATATACATCTTGTATATACACTAGAACTTTTTAAGGTAATTTTTGCACATATACAACAACTTTACAAAGTTTATACACCTCATCATGAAATGGAAGTATGATAAAATTACAAATTTTAAAGTTGACTTCATTACATATTGTAAAAAAAAATATGTCCACTCCTGCATCTCAGGTTGAATCTTTTAAAACTTACGGGATTTCCCATCATTGTATAGCTTTTTCCAGAGCCAGTCTGTCCATAGGCAAACACGCAAGCATTGTAACCATCATAAGCAGAGGTTACAACATCAACGCCAAGGCATTTGAACACCTGTTTGTTAGAATTTATAAAAGTTACTTCACTTAAGGCAGGTAAATTAAATGAAAGCAAAATATACTGCTTTAAAATTTCAGTCATTCTAGGGGAAAAAAAACACTGACAAGTTTTGGTATTAATATAAGTGTATATGGTTCTTTTTGGGATATGGTAATGGCTTTAAGTCATGTGCTGCTTGGAATCATTTTGAACACAGAATAGTTTCATGGATGGCTTCATGTGTAGTATAAATATTACCTGTTCCTGTGAAGCAAAATGTGGATCGGTTCGAAGGACGGACCAAAAGGAAAAGTCAAAAGTAAATTCCTTGTGTCTCATGAGCTCTCTACCAGAGTCACCCTCCTGTAAGTGTTCTGGGATCTGGAGGATATAAAAAATGGAATTGTAAACTTATTCAGCTATAGAATACAAGAGATATTCAGATCTATACAATGTGATATATAAACACAGCATAAATATAGGAATTAGGTATCTGCCATTTGTAATCCTCTATGCTAGATTCATAATTCTTACCTTCTAACATGATATAAATAAACACGGAAAATGAAACCAACAAGAAGTGAACGATAAAACTTAAATAGAAAAGTTTTGCTGTCATGGCTGTGGTATATGGATTAACACAGTTAACAGCAAAAATTCCTTATAATGAGGTAACAAATAAGGAAAAATAGTTCCCTTAACACATTTAACTTCCTTGCGTCCATTGAATATCTCTGAGAGATTAAGATGATTACCTTAACATTTTTTAGATGGTCTTACTATGCTTACTGACATTACTTTATCTTCACAATAAAAAACAAGTATTTTAGTTTGACTCAAATTAAACTTTATCAATTCAATGTTACAGTTTCAAAAATATTAAAAGTCTTTTGTATTAGTGAAGGTGGTCATCAGTTAGTTTTCAATTAACACTGATTAAAGTTTAACCCCTTTTCTGCAATGTTTTTCTGTGAATTTAATCCATTTAAAATAACGATGACGATTTATTAATTTAATGTTTGATAATCAAACCGTTCTTTGATGTTGCATGTTGTCATTTAAAAAATGATGTGTTTACCTTAAGATTAGTGATGGTGGTTTTCCTCCCATCCATTTGGATGATGAATTTGCTGTCGAGATCATGTTCCCTTTAACAAGAGTGAAAATGAATTTAGCTTATAAAACTTGCAATTCATCCATTTTTTTCAGAGTTTACAACATAATCCTCACAGAGTTAATCTTGGGGGAAAATGTAGCATACATCAGGAACAATAATTTCCTTACCTTTGGTTTATTGGGCGAACTCTAACAGCAACTTTTACTGATGTCATCTTGTTAATTTCCTTTCAACATGTTTGTCATCAATATATTTTACATTTCCACAACATTTTCGACCGATTTCTGTGTTTGCAGTTTGGTGGATGAAATCATTATTGATTTTAAGGTTACTTCCCTTTTCGTCGTATTTCGATCCCGACATAAATTCTCTCTAACCTCTGATCCACTACTTGACACAAAATAGAATAAGTTGAAATATGCTCTGGATTATGTAATTTGTAATTAATTCAAGTATTTTAAACATTATATTTGTCCAAGATAGAGTAAAGTAATTGAAAACTTTATTTGCATGTATTTTTTGTATTTGAGTAAGCAAGCGTGATTTTCTTCATCAGTACTTTGTTGTCTTTGAAGATTTTTCCCATGTAAAAAAAATACTCACCCTATGTTAAAATTGAGCTAAATAATTCTAAGTCATACAATTTTCTCAAAGTCCAAAAAACATTTTTCATCAGTGTATTGAGGGTCCTTAAACGTTTTAGGAGACATGACACAACTAGCAAAACCATATGGAATCACAATAAACTATATTATAAACTTTCGTATGTAAGTTAGAGTCAAAAACAAAAATAATAGGCAGTTTTTCAAGGAATTAAAAAAAATAATGCCCTTTCAGTGATGGAACTCCTTGTCTATACAGTCAATAATAATTAAAATATTTTAAACCTCGGGGCTATTTTATTTGAAAACAAAAACAAAACAAAACAAAAGATTTCAATGACACTACTAAAAGTATATTAAAAAAAACTGTAACAATCTGAAAAATTTTATTCAATAGACTAGCTCAAAAAAAGGAACATACAAAAATATGAAATATAAATATAAACAATGAACTCAAAAGGATAGATATGTACATGTACCATATCCCAATTATGCATACCGGTACTTTACAGTAGTATGTTAAAGAAAATCTTTGTTCAATATATATAAACATGCATTTTGATTTGGCAGATAGAGACCATTTCCCAAAACATTGAAAATACTTCCTTTCTTTGACGTGACATTAATGCATATCATTAGTCAATACGATACAGAGCCATTGGTTGTCCTTATAGTGTCATGTGACTTTGTGCTTCCTTAACTGGTTATAACGAATACACAGGTGAAGAGCAGCAATTATTAATCCTGTCATGTAACCAAGCAAGGTTCCCACCATGCATGTTATTGGCCACTCCTGTAAAATATGAAGATGAAAGGGTTCAACCCTACACCTGTCATTTATGGTGGTACTTGTAACTATTTTGTAGTTTTGTATTATTTCCAAACTTTTGTCTGATATTAATGATGACATTAGTATATCACTCTTACTAACATTATTAAAATTAAACTTTGGGACTAAGATGGACAGTGGCAATCATTAAAAATTAAAGCTTTTGCAATATACAATGTAAATTCTTTGTATATAAGACATATCTTATAATTAAATGTACCTGCCAATCTCTGTCCCAGTCTAGAGGTATAGGAAATGCTCCAAGCCAAGCTCCAATAATAGAAGACACAGCTGTGATTTGTACAACCGACTCTGGTCCTAGGTCTGCACTGGAAAGACAGGAAGAGTGCAACGGTTGAATGTTTAAATACTAAAACTTCACCACAAAATTTAAATCAACTTTTTGCATGAGACTTAACAATGTTTAAAAGAAAACTAGTGATAAATGACAGGTATGTGTGAGCTCTTAAAATTAAACCCCCTCCCCCTTGATCTTTTATAAATAACATAAAGTATCATGGTTCATTACAAATGTTGTTTCCACTAACTCATGTCATTAACTTTGTAGCATTTACACTGAAAAATAAAGTAATCAATCAGGAAAACTCAGTGATTTTGTTGTACATGATTAAAAAGGTTTACATGGTTTATTTTTTTTTTTGCCATAAGTATTTTCATGACCTTGTTCAAATTTAAAGGTGACAAAAATTGCAATTTAAAATTGCAGCACCTTATTTTACTTCAGTTACTAGTAATATAAGTTAAACAAGATGTGTTTGTGAAACACTGATGCCCCCGTATGGCATCTTATGGCAAAGGTTAAAGTTTCTCAAATGCAAGTCAAAATCCAGGCCAAAAGATAAAAAATGTTGGTACCCAAAGAAAGGTCTTGTCTCGAGGAATATACCTGTGAAATTTGAAAGCCCTAGCTGCAACTGTTCAAAAGTTATGGTGAAGGTTAAAGTTTTTTAAAAGTAAGTAAAATGTCAAGGTCAAGGTCAAAATGGTTGGTATCCAAAGGAAGGTCTTGTCACAAGGATTACATATGTGAAGTATGAAAGCCCTAGCTCCAACTGTTCAAAAGTTATGGCCAAGGTTAAAGTTTTTCAAAAGTATGTCAAACTCCTAGGTCAAGGTGAAAGGGTCAAAGAAGGTGATATCCAGAGGAAGGTTTTGTCACAAGGAATACACATGTGAAGTTTGAAACCCCAAGCACCAACTGTACAAAAGTTATGGCCAAGGTTAAATTTTTTCAAAAGTAGGTCAAACTCCAAGGTCAAGGTCAAAAGGTCAAAGTTTTTGGTATCCAAAGGAAGGCCTTGTCACAAAGAATACACATGTGAAGTTTGAAACCCCAATCTCCAATTGATCAGGAGTTATGGCCAAGGTTAAAGTCTCATAAAATTTTGCAAAAGTGGGTCAAACTCCAAGGTCAAGGTCAAAAGGTCAAATATGATGGTACCCAAAGAAAGGTCTTGTCACAAGGAATACACATGTGAAAATTGAAAGTCATAGCTCCAACCAATCAAAAGTTATGGGCAAGGTTAAATTTGACAACAGACAGACAGACAAACAGACAGGACAAAAACATTATACCCATGGGATCTTTCGATCTAGGGGCATAAAAATTAATTAGATGTGTCATTAAAAATCCATATTTTTTGTAGGCACTTCCATTCTGTGTGATACTGTGTAGTGTAATAATACAAAAATTGAAAAGTATTTATGCAATCAATCTTTCCTTGCCTATTTAGTGAGAAGACTTTAATCCAGCTGGACACATTAAGCCCCAGTAAACAAAGGCCTGGGAAGACTGCCATGCTAGCTAGCAGAGCTCCAAAGTGAAAGGTCTGGGAAATGGACCTGAAAAAAAAAATGTGTGCACAAGTTACACAAAATAATAAATAAAGTCTTTTTTTTTTAAATTATGCCATAAATGGAAATTCATAAAGCAGATGTAGTACTTATGCTTCGTAATTTTCAGAGTCACCAAAATGTAAAACTGAAGATTTTATAGGCTGAAAAGTTTAAAGTAAATACTCAGAGCCTTACTCAAAAAATGGTGCTCCATAGAGAACAGCTATCACATGGAAGAAGCAAGCTGCTAGCACATAAAAGCATGCTCCTTTTAAAGCTGCACGAACCTGAAATAACAATGATCATTTACTCATGAGTAATGGGTGTACATACGATAGTAAAAAAATTTAATAACAAACAAGCATTCAGTGCATGTGACTCTTTGCTATAAAAGTTCATTTTTGTTCCCTACTTTTGCAAAGCATGGAGACATTAAATCTTATTCATCTGTCTGTGATCTGTCTTTCATTCATAAAAAAATTTTTAACCATGGTTATAACTTCTGAATGAAAGAAGAGAGGGTTTTCATATTTCACATGTTCATTACCCATGACTAGACCTTTTATAACATACTATGATTTTTGACCTCATGACCTTGACCTATATGCTTTACCTACATTTCAAAAATTTTACTTGGTAATATCTTCTGAATGAGAGAAAATATAGCTTTCATATTTCATATGTGCATTACCCATAACAGGTCTTTTCTGAACAAAATATATTTTTTGACCTCATGACCTTGACCTTTGACCAACTTTTCAAAAATGTTATTACTTTTCATTGAGAAGTTGGGGCTTGACCTTGACCTCCTGATCTTGAAGTTTGATCTACTGATAAAAAATTTTAACTTAAGCTGTAATATTTGCATCAGAACTTAAGAGACAAGGCTTTCATATTTTTTTCAAATGTGGATTACCTGTGATAAGACCTTTCCAAATGTACAATGATTCTTGAGCTCATGACCTAGACCTCCAAGTTTGACTTTCTAAAACTTTATTTTAGACCCGAAACTTTTCCACAAGAACATATTTCTTCAAAATATATAACTTCTAGCATGATGTACAGACAATACAGTTACAATATGGCACAGGTCTAAGACTCTGAAAGCGGGGGATCACAATTCCCTGAATTTGCTAGTTTATCATTTTAACCAAGAGTCACTGAACTGTGCACAATGGATTAAGATTCAAACTCAGGACCTCCCAGAATTCTAGAAAAGTGCTCTACTAAATGTGCTCTCTGACCTCCTGGCTGCTAAACATTTACTGTGTAATTTCTGAATTTGTTCATTTTCTTTGGCTCAGAAAAAATCTCAAATAAGAAGAATTCCCTTATCTTTTGTATTGAATATTAAAGACGATTAAATCGAATAACAAAAATAACAGTACAGAAACAAATAAACTTATTACATAAATATCCAATATACTTACTCTATACGACACTGACTTCTTGACAAAGTTACTTTTTTGTGAAATATACAATCCTATCAAAAAGTTAGAGCACAAAATGACACCAATCAGAATTTCAGATGACAGCAAAGTGTATGATACAATATCTAAAACAGTCTTTGTATTCCATGGAAGAAAAATAAGCAATGAAAGTAATACGACCTGATATATATTTGATCGTATCGTAAAATAATAAACGTCTTTAGACGGGAGACGTGTGTTCATGGGCGCAGACATACTGTACAATATTTCTACCTCCCCAATAGAAGAGCTTTAATGTTTATAAACATAGTGTCATTTCCTCTGTACTGCATCATGTTAGGACATGAGAAAGACAGCATCTGTTTTTAAATTAACAGCGATCTTTGTGATTTTAAGTTGAAAGCAACTATCCTCGACTTTGAATACATGATATTTGTGGTGACGGTGTGAACAACGTTGTCTTAATATTGGACACGCCCCTATTGACAGATAGGCGCCCATGACATGAAACGGGAGCTTCAATAAGGAAATGTCACTACAGAAAACAGTTGTAATGAGTACGCGTGCAGAGAAAAACTCAGCAAATTTTCTTAACCTACCGCATGAATTACAGGCATTAGTTTTCTCTTATTTACCAATGAAAGATATTTTCTCTGCATGTCTAGTCTGCAAGCAGTGGAATTCTGTAATCATGGATACAGAATTCATATGGAAGACCAAATGCAATACACTTCAAGAGTTACAACTAAGAGTTATAGATGACAAAGCAAAGGGCCATAGCTGGAAGGTATGATCATGCACTGTACTCAAATGATTGCCTTATGGACATTTTTACCATTCAGGCAATGATGTTCCAGAGTATTAAATATTTATAACACATACTTATAGCTTCAAATACTGTATATATACTTTTTTTCCACAGGGTCATCAATACTCTGAATCGCAATATCTGTGGGTAGAAAATTGTGCAGATTTCTTGGATTGCCATTGTTTTCTTAATTAAATGCATTTTAAGTGTGACAAATACCATGAAAAATTTTGTGACTGTGTACAAAGTGTAAATTAATGCCACATGCAAAATGTATGTCTACAGGAGATTACTAACAAATGTACCTTTGATACATTTTTAAATTGTTTTTTTTATTCTCTATCTTGATTTATCTTTAACATGCATTCCATTACAGGAAACCTTTAAAATGAATTATGGGAGGAATGGAGTTAAGAGGATGTGGCAGCTTGGATACTTCAGCAACCCCGCATCCTATGATGATCTGCCTCAAGGGATGTTCAGCAACATGGACGTGGATTCATGGGCTGATATTTTCCAGCTAGAATTGGAAAGATCATAACAACTATTTCTCATTGGCATATAAAAATGATTTTATAATATAGATTACTTTTAAAGAATGAATATCTGTTGTGGTTTTAGAGCATTTGTTTCTAATAAGTTCTGATTTTAAAGTGAATTATGACTTTGAATAGTGCTGGGACATTTAGATCATATCAACATGGTTTTTGATATATACATGTACTGCAGCAATAAGGCCATTTCTTTTTATCTAGAGATAATGGAAATTTTATATGTGTTATTTTATCTTTGTTTGGATTGTTTAAGCTAGATAAATCCTTTCAAACATTTAGTTGATATTTCTTTTTTATTTGAATAACAAATTATGTGTAAACTATTTAGAAAGCCCCTATTACAATCCTTTTTCATGCATTTTTATCTAAGCTTATGCAGTGGCAGCACTGAAACATAATTGGTGAGAATTAATCAACTGTCTCCAAATCTTTTAACCTTGACCTTCCAAATGACCTTTGAATTTACTATTTATTGTATATAAAACTTGGTTTTAAAGGAACTATTCAAGATATTTTCATCAAACTTCATACAAATTTTCATGCTGCATTACTGTCCTATGGATGTATTTATTGTTGTTAATATATTTTTTTTAATTGAATAACTGAAACGACTCATCAATGAACTAGAAAGCCTCTATTAGACGTCCCTTTTCATGCTTATTTTTATACTGTTACAATGTGTTTCAGAGCAAAGACCCCCCCCCCCAAAAAAATAATAGAATCATCAGCACATATTAATTAAGAAAACATAGAAAAATGTGATCATGATCCAATATTTTAGTTATCACAGTTAATCAACGAAAAGATATCAAATGAATTGGTGTTATCTTCAACTGTTTAGAAATCTTGAATTCTGAATCATTGCACAGCTGGGGAAAAAGGAGTCAAAAGGACATCCTGATGAAGACTGGTTAATACCAGACTGAGTTATCTGCTCTTTAATAATGAATCATGAATTCAGTTGCTAACCTATCAAGAAGTAATGTCATGATTGTAATCACAATCTTCCTTAAAGTACACATGTACAGTCTGAGATTTACTGATTTACTATGGAATCATCATTGTTCCTGGATTTCTTGGGTCACCCTTAAATTGCCCTCACAAACTTCGAAGTATTGATTCATTAAATCCTGTGAATATACGAGTTATGCTTAAAATTATGTCCCTGCAAACCAATAAAATTCTGGTCGCTTATTGCCGAACATTGCAACAGTACTATATGAAAATCATCAAATCAATTATTACTCTCAAAAAATTAATTAAGACGTGCATCGCAATTAATTTTTTGAGAGAACGATTGATTTTTATATGCCTATCAACTGCATCAAGGTGCAGTTATAGAATTAGTGATATCTTCAAATAATTCAAGGTATCTTCTCAATTATTGGAGTTTGTTAATTTGTTGCTCCATATTTGTGCACTCTTTATATTAGTGCTTTATTCTACTTTTATTGTAATCACCCTTTTTGCAAGAGCTTAGACCCAATAATCTGCCTTTACATAATAAATATTTCTGGTGTCATATTTGTTTTGATTTTCAGTATGGGTCTATAATTCATATCTGAATAACATAGTTTGTGCAGTTTAGTCCATTTGTGAAATTTGCGGTTGATATATCAATTAAAGATTAAGAAAAAAAATACATAACTGAGAAATAGTAGAATTTCCTTTACAATTACACATAAATAATTAAAGAAAATGGCAAAAATTCAAAGTGGATGAATTGAAGGACTAAATTATAAATTAATTTCAAGCTGCATTAAATGTATGGAGATAAACAATATTCAAGCTCAAAAGTCCTCCATGACACCTAATCCCACCTCTGATGTTTCAGAGGTCCGTGTTTGCTCTGCAAAATTTGTACTGTTTAATGGACTTTTGAGCTTGAATACTGTTCGTTATCTCCTTTAACATTAGTTACCTTAAGACAGTGTTAACTCACATAATAAAAACTCAAGTTTTTGCATGACAAAGTTTATTTTGATATGTATCATAAATTTTAACTGAGAACTAATCATCATGTATCATAATGAAAAAAAACATTTCACAATCAATATTATCACTTTTCATGGTTATCAGAAAGGAAAAATGAGAGGAAAAAAAAGAGAACCTCTAGGAAACCCATGTCTACTACACAGTGTATTCAGGTGCATAAGATGCATCAATGTTAGAATGTACAAACCATATCATTAAAAACATCCAGTACTTTTAACACAAAAAATGAAAATACATAGTTTCATATAAAAGATTAAAATCAATTGTATCAGACCAAGATAGACATAGTCGCATCTTCATGTTATTGTATCATAATGAAAAAGAATTACAAATGCAAAATCGTTCATGTTTTTTTAAAAGAGAAAAGCAAGAAAAAAAGAAAGAAAAACTAGAAAACTTATGTCTCTACTACAAAGTAGATATTTTACAATTATATCACTTTTCATGTTTTTTTTTCAAAAATGAAAAACTAGGGGGAAAAAAGTAGAAAACCTATGTCCTCACTACAAAAATAGACATTTTATATCACTTTTCATGTTTTTCAGAAAGGAAAAACCAGAAAAAAATAAGGAAACTGTAGAAAACCTACATCTTTACTAGAAAGTGGACATTTTACATCATTCTTTTCAGAAAGCAAAAATTCAGAAAAAAAAACTCTAGAAGACCTACGTCTTTACTTCAAAGTGGACATTTAACATCACTTTTATATTTTTTGGAAAGGAAAAACTAAGAGAAAAAAAAGGAACTCTAGAAAACCTATTTCAACTGTGAAGTGGACATTCAATATCACTTCTTATGCTTCCAGAGAGTAAAAACTAGAGAAAAACACTAGAAAGTTCATTTCTACTACAAAGTGGACATTCCACAGTTACATCAATTTCATACTTTTCACAAAAACTAGAGAAAAAAAGAAACTCTAGAAAATCTACTCTACTATAAAGTGGACATTAACATCACATCTTGTCTTTTTAAGAAAAGAAAAACTAGAGAAAAGAAAAAGAGAGTCTAGAAAACCTGTTTCTTCTGCAAAGCTAGACGACCTTGAACATCACATCTTATGCTTTCCAAAAAAAAAAAAAAAAAAAAAACTAGAGAAAAAAAGGAAATTCAAGAAAATCAATTTCTACTACAAAGTAGGCATTTTACGATTACATCACTTTTTATACTCTGCAGGAAAGAAAAACTAGAGAAAAAAAAAACTCTAGAAAACCTATTTACTACTGCAAAGTGGACATTTTATGATTACATCACTTTTCATAATTTTCAGGAAAAAAAAACTAGAAAAAAAAAAAACTCTTAAAAAATCTATTTTCTACTGCAAAGTAGACATTTCACTTATGCTTTTCAGAAAGGAAAATCTAGAGAAAAAAGGAAACTGGAAAACCTATCTCTACTACAAATTAGACATTACAATTACATCACTTTTCATACTTTTTAGAAAGGAAAACTAGAGAAAAAAAATAATAAACTCTAGAAAACCTATTTCTACTACAAAGTGTATTTAGTTGCACAAATTACGTAAGATTAAAATAACTATATGTAGTTTACAATGTTTTCAGAGTATCCAAGACTTTTAAACTTAAAAAAAATTAGAATAAGTTGCATAAAAGGTAGTACATGTACAGTATCTTGAACATCGTATTAAGCCCTGTTAAGTTAATTTAAAAGATAAAAAGACAGAATACAGAATAAGATGACATATTTGCTTACATATTTTCCAAACCCAAATACTTCCGAGTTTTTCAGTTTCAGAAAAATGTTTGTATTGGCATGCACCTGATTTTCAATAACAATACTAGTCAAATAATTAGAAGAAGGAGATACATATAGTGATTACAGTAAAATATAATTATCTCTCAGAGAAAAAAAAAAACTCAAAATGATCCAAGAATTCAAGGTATTGAGATTAAAATGCATAGAAAAAAGTGGTGGGGGCTTCCAATTAACTCGCATATTTGCTTCTTTGAGAAATCGATGTTCAAGATACCAAAGTTCAAATGTAAATTAATGCATTAAATTTATCAAAAAGAAAAAGAATGAAAATTGTATTGACATGTTTCTCAAGAAAGAAAACAAAGAGATAGTACAGGATAATTTTTCCACCAATTCTACATTTAAAAATCCCTCAATTGCTTTAAAAACTCTGCCTACTCACAGAGTGAGGCATATATAATGATCATATTTTTCCAGTGATTAATATGCTTTTTAAAAAATATGAGTATTTTAAAATGCACGTACATGCACGCTAAGAGTGCTTCTACCCCCATTCAAATAACAAGACCTAAAGTATTATAATCATATGTTTTATGCACATATTTGCCTGTTTCTTCCTATAAAAAGTAACTCATATAATGATCATATATTTTCAACAAGTACATGCATACATTGAAAAAATGCACATATTTTAAACTACAAAATAAGGAAAGCAAGAAAAATCTTCAGGATAATTATGATATATATTTAAATGTTTTACTCCTTTAATGTAAAACATAATATCTTCAATACTTTACATTAATGAGGAATACAGTATATAACTTGTCTATATTTGAAATTGACAAAAATGGCAAATTAAAATATAATGGATAACATGAAACAAGTCTTTTGTTAATCATTTTAATTATAATGGTCGAAGATTGTGATATCATCTTAAAATCATTAACGTTAAATTGCTAACACAATTTCTTATTCGCTGAGGAATAATACCTGTAAAATTTATGAAGATTCAATTTTATCATCTAGATTATTACTCATCATATGAAAAAGTTTTTACTTGTATTTTAAAATATGTATACAAATACATAAGCATATCGAGGGAGGTATTTTATGTATATTTGTACAATTATATACTTGTATTTCTTAAGTATAATTCTAAGAGAATAAGCAACTGATTGATGGAATGATTTACCTCTTTACAAGTTCAGAAAAAGGAGAGTTAGAGAGGAAGGCTGCCTCCTTATCATTCAGAAAAAAAGTCAAACTTTCATTGTTTATACCTTTAAATCAATATTATTATGAAAATAACATAGTCTGGTAGATATCTCCTACTATCTAGTTCCTCTGAATATTAACAGAGAGGAATGAGATGGTGATCAGTCCTTTTTATTTAACACCTAAATTAATAGAAAGAAAAAAATATATAAAAGAGGATGAATAAAATGAAGAAAAAAAATTTTAAAAGAAAGAAAAAAAGAGGAAAATGCTTCTATTTTACAAATAAATAAATGAATTAAAAATAAGAGAGGGAAGAAAGATAGAAAATCTTACACTTAAAACAAGGAGACCT